AAGTTCGAGAAGGGAGAGGATTGACATGTCGTGGGGTTGTTAACCAGTGTCATAAAACAATATGTGTACTGCTGTTTCATGAGAAATATTTGTTCTGTAAACCTTCACCTGAAGTACAATTTTAAAAAAAAACAATGTGCACAGTGATCCCGTTTCCTGGAATATATAGTTGTTGTTAGGTGCTGTAAGGTCGGTTCCAACCCATAGTGACCCCATGTACAACAGAATGAAACACTGGCCAGTTCTGCGCCATCCTCACTATCATTGCTGTGTCTGAGCCCATTGCTGCGCCACTGTGTCAGTCCATCTCATTGATGGTCTTCCTCTTTTTCACTGACCCTCCACTTTACCAAGCATGATGTCCTCTAGGGACCAGTCCCTTCTGAAATATGTAAGAAAAGAGGCAGGTTTCAGTTGGGAGTGGCAGAAGACAGTCAGTGTATTTGTTGTAAGAATGTTGAGTTTTAACGTGAATCCTGTTTGTGCAAGTTGACCTGTTGTGCAAGTTCTTTAAAAATGGATCATTATTTTGTAGTCATATTTGTTGCCATAGATTTCAAGTAGTTTCTGTACCTGTCTGATCATTTTTTCCTGAAGATAGATGTATATTGATTTTAGCATTTCATAGTAAACCATCTTGATCTGTTTTCTATCACATAGGTTAAGTGCTAGTGTAATTCCATAATTGCCTGAGGGCTGTGTTGGTACATTGAGTACTGAAAATTATTAAGAAAATTTGTACTTCTGTCACTTTTTTAATGAGTAGATTTTGATATTAGAAGTAATAATATTCATCTTAGGCCCTAAAATAGCAACCTGAACTCCCAAATCTTTCTTCCACTTGAATTGCTCACCATCAGTTAACTTTATATTTTTCAGTTCCAAATTTCCAGGAGAGATAATCTGGTTGGTTGAGTCATGTAGCCATTCGTGGTCCAGTAAGCTAAGGCCAGCAGGGCAGAGAGGTTTATAGGCTTTAGCACTGCCCCTTTCAGGCTATGGGAAGGGCTGTTTCTCCAAGAATGGAGAAAAGGAAAAGATTGACATCTCCAGTGTAATTGGTTTTTTGAAAATCAGGATCATACTGCTTTTTGCACTTAATAAATCCTTAGTTTCTTTTCCTTTTCCTCTTTTAATAGTTATAGTTTAATAGTAAAATTCATTCAACAATTAAGTACAATTAAAAAATAATGACTAAAATCGAAAAGCTCTAAGTTTCAGCGTTGTCTGTGCTGTAGAAAAGTGTCCATTTATAATGTAATATTACAGCAGGTAAACAGCATATACTAATTTAAAAGCAATCCATATGAAATGAGTATGTAAGGATAATTCTTGTTGACCAATTAAATTATCTGAGAACTTTCTTAACTTAAGATAATTTTTGCTTTGATAGTGTTTGATATGTTTAAAAAGAGTCCTTTTCCCTACTTCTGCTATATTAAAGGAAACCCTGATGGTGTAGTGGTTGGGAGCTACAGCTGCTAACCAAAAGGCTGGCAATTCAAATCCACCAAGGCGCTCCTTGGAAACCCTATGGGGCAGTTTTACTCTGTTCTACTGGGTCACTATGAGTCGGAATCGACTCATCGGCAACGGGTTTGGTTTGGTTTTTTTTTCACTATATTAAAAATTATAATGAAGTGTTGTTGCCTTCCCACAATTGAGATAACCAGACACATCGTGATCATTCTGTTATCCCAGCTAGCCACAGCCTAGAGGTTGAGAAGGAACAGAAAGAAAGAAAAGATTAATGTTTTTTTCTTACCTTCTTGGATGAATATTTTAAACATATATGCTGTTATAGATTTGTGTGGTACCCAAGATGTTTATGACTTTCTACTTTTTAACTCTTGATTTAGAATGTATATAAGGCTTGTTTGATTATGAATGCGAAAACACACACTCACTTAACATACACGATGTAGTAGATGGAAAAATCTCAATATTACCTTAATCATTTTAGCCTAATTCTTACTTCATTTACTCTAAACAATACTTTATTCCTAGTACTTGGTCATGCGGCATTATGACCTAAGAATATGGCTATTTGTTTTCTTTCCTTAACTGTAATGTGCTTCTAATGATCAGTTATGTGTCAGAATCATTTTTATAGATCAGTGATCCTCATCCAAGGGTGATTTTGCCCACTCCCACCCCCCACCCCAAGGAACAGTTGACAATGTGTGTTATTTTAAATTGTCACAACTAGGGAGAGGAGGTTGCTATTGGCATCTAGCAGATAGAGTCCAGGGATGCTGCTGAACATCCTACAGTGCACAGATCAGCCCCTCACAACAACAAAAAAGGGTAGTAGTGCTGAAACTGAGAAAGCCTGCTATAGATGTAGTAAGATGAAACTGTGCTATTTCTCAAGCAAGTTATATATGAGGTTAGGGTAAATTACTGTCTGGACAGTAGATGTCACCCTAGCCCAGATGTTTTATTTTTTAGAGACGATTTTGCTAAATAATGATATTATTTTCTGCTTCCTCAGATTCTGCCAGTTTTACTGAGATAACTAAAGACTGTGACGAGAATAAAGAAAACAAAACTCCTGAAGGATCTCAGGGAGAGGTTGATTGGCTCCAGCAGTATGATATGGAGCGTGAAAGGGAAGAGCAAGAGCTTCAGCAGGCATTGGCACAGAGCCTTCAGGAGCAAGTAAGTAATGCTGCTGCTTTCTCCATACCTATCTTTCCCAAGAAATAAAATCATACCATGTATTGAGCACTTACTACACATCAGATATTGTTCCAAGTGATTTACATACACTAAATCATTGATCCACAGCAGTAAAAAACAAACTCGTTTGGGGCTTTGCCTTGGATTTAAAGCGGAAACCACTGATAGTTGTTCTTTTTTTTTTTTTTTTAGAAAATCCAAATGCAACAAAATGTATTGTTGGTTATCTTCCATTACTGTGGTTCACTGCATACTACTAAAGCAAGATGGGATATTAGAAATCATCCTAGCCCAACTTCATTTTACAATCAGCATACCGCCCTGATTTTTTATTAATATTTTAAGGCAGTGTATTTGTTTTGGTCATTTTCTCACAATATAAATACTATGCTGTGGATTTGTACATAAAATTCTCAGGAATATTGTCTGAATTCTCATTTTCAGATTTTCTTTACGGGAGAACATTTATCTGCTCTTTTTGTTATGTAGTAATCTATTCTTCAATTTTTAGGTTTTTTTTTTTTTTTAATTTTTAGTTCCTTATATTTACCAAAGCTGGTTGATTTGCACTGTTGCAGTCACCTGAGATATCTGACTGATAGGTGATGTTTCATGGTTGTCTGATCCTGTGGAATCCAAATCGTGTTAGTAATAAAAATTTACTGAGGCTCCCTAGAATGAATGTATAGTATTAATGTTTGCACATAATCAGACTGTGAAATCTAATTTCTCTAGAACAGTGGTTCTCAGTCTTGACTGCACATTAAAATTATCTGGAGAGCTTTAAAAAATACTGATGCCTGGCTTCTGTCCCTAAGAAATTCTGATGTCATTGATCTAGGGTGTGGTGTGGACATCTGGCTTTCTTTCTACAGTCATGTGTTCCTTAATGTCCAGGATACGTTCTATGAAATAGGACATTATGTGATTTGGACGTTGTACAAACACCATACAGGCAAGTCCCCAGGTTACGAACAAGATCTGTTCCTAAGTCTGTCTTTAAGTCGAATTTGTAGGTAAGTTGGAACAGGTACATACGGTTCTTATTTAGCGTCAGTTAGTCAAATGTTTGTCTTAGTATATAGTATATATTTTACCTTTCTATGCATATAAAACAATTAAGAAGTACTTCCAAACTGTGTGATGTTTTCATGAGTGTCACCAAGTAGTGCGTGCGTTTGTTATTATGAACCATTGTAGTTAACTCAGATGTTTAATATAATCGGCTTTCACTACATGCGGTTACATCCACTACGTCCTGTTCTCTGATCAGGGTTTCTGAGCTCTGTTATAACCTTATGGGACCACAGACGTATATGCAGTTGGACATTGCCCCAACAGACGTTAAGCGGCATATGACTGTATTTCTTTTTTCTTTTCCCCCAATCAGGATTTTTAAAAGCTTTTCCTGGTGATTCTGATGTGCAGCCAAGTTTGAGAATTGCTACTCTAAAAGCATTTCAGAACCAGCTGTTCTGTATCTCTTTATAAAGAGTACTGCCCTAGCTGTCTTGTTAAGATGTGTGTATGTCAAACTATTTTACAAAGAATACATATAGTAATCATTTGTTTTAGAAAACTTAATTTTAATATAAAAGACCAAGGTCTGGTTTATTAGGAGTTATTCCTTATAGTGTACCAAAGGAAAGTTTAGCACCACTCTTTATCAGAGATGAAAGATATATATCCTATTTTCTGTCAGTTAACCCACTTTAAACTACACTATTTTTTTCAGGTGTGAGAATAGGGTTATAAGATGAAATTTCTTTAGTTTGGTATCCCTGCATCATTCTATTGTGGTATTAGAGTAGACTTTATATACTTGGGTAACTTTATGGAATCCTGTTTCCTCTTAGATAATATCTTTGTTGCTTTCTTGAATACAGTATTATTGCTCCTAGGATTATAATACAGAATAGCCCTTTCTCTGTTTCCTATGTAGTTTTGTAACGTTAAAAACAAGTCCAGAATTTAGAAAAGTAAAAAATAATGCTGCTCAGATTATATTTTTCTATATTCTTGTATCATTTGTATATTGTCTTTTCTCTGAAGATGAGGAAGGAATTTGTTTTTAATATTTGGCATTTCCCTATTCCTTTTTATGATTAAAGTAGTCGTCTAGTTGAGATATTTTTAGGAGATATTGGAGGTACTATTTCTTCAGGAGAACCTCAAATGTATTAGAAAAGTGACCATTAACAGCATTCTTTTAATAAGTATGTACCAAGCATCTACTCTGTGTTTTGGTTTCTTTATCAAAAAGAAATTTAAAACCTGTGAATAATATCTTGTGGAAATACTCTTTATCTTCCTCTCATAGACTTAGGGTCAGTGGCATGCTAGAACTGGCTCACCGTCAGTTCAAGAGAGCAAATTATGCACACTTCTTCCCAGCTTTCATTCAGTGTCATTATGTTGGTGGCTTAAAATTGGCCATGGTGGGAGTATTTATTCCATGAAAAATCAACAAATACTGTGTATCAGGGAAAAGGAAAGAGAGCAGTTTGCTAAGTATTTACTGCATGCCAGGCATTTTACACATATTAGGAGAAAGAGAATTACCTCATAATGTTACATTGAATGAGTTTTGGTTGGCAAGCCAAATGCCATTGACTAGAGGAGATAGCATTTAAGAGGACAGTGTTTTAAAAAGTGAAGAACTTTCCATGTCTTTCAAAAGACCAAATTCCAAAGATCTTAAGGTTATGAAAACATTAGCAAACACTTACAGGGAGGCTAATTTTATCCTCATTAAATAAGTTTAATCAATAACTTCTTTAAATACCTTAGTTTTTATTCTTGTCCCTTTAGGAGGCTTGGGAACAGAAAGAAGATGATGACATCAAAAGAGCTACAGAGTTAAGTCTTCAAGGTGTGGAGAATATTTTAATTACATTTTTTAAATGGTGAAATTTGTCACACATACAGACGAGAGTATATAAAATGTGTGTGTCTGTTATTTTTGATAACAATAACAAATTTGAACAGCTCCAGGAATAGAAAGAGAACCTTAGAAGTTACCTGTGTACCCCTCTTTTCCTCCTCCCTCCCAGAGGAAACCATTGTTCTCACATTTGTGCTAACCATCAACTTGCTTATCTTTATAATTTTACCAACTATATCCATATCCCTAAACAATGTATTTTTTAATTTTGAAAAACTGAAGAGCAAGGACAATCTCTCTGTATAATGAAAGAGCTATACTACCACTATTAAGTATTAGGAGAAGATAATGCAGCTTCAATTTCCCCATGAATCACTCTGGGGTAGTCAGTGGGCAAGGTTGTGAGTGAGTACGCAGAAGCATAAGGTTCACCACTGTCATGGCATTTGGCAGGACTAATATGTGGACCAGATGCTGAAAGTTCACAAGGGTATGTTGTTATGGGGGATTTTCTGTTTTGAACATCACTGTGGTCTTTCTCCAGCTCTCAGAAATACATCAGAGTAGAATACTTTAGTGGTACAAAATAATTATTCTAGGCTGATCTAGACAACAGGGTATGGAGGAGAGAGTGGGAATTTCACTGGCACATGGTTTAGACCAAGTTACAATTAAGCCAGGCTAGGCTCACCCAGGTGTTCTTCTCAGGGTCATATTTCTCCAATCTGGACTGCTTGACCTCTACATCCGTGCACAGATATCCTGAGATTTCCTTTAACCAATCTCCAGGAATTCCCTCTGATTGTCTACTTTGTTTGACTTTCCCATTTCCTGTCTCTGATTCTTCCTCATTCTTGATCTCATGTTTTGATGGAGAGCATCCTGATTGAGAGGAAGATCCTCAGTGAGATGGGTTGACACAGTGGCTGTAACAGTGGGCTCAAGCATAATGTTTGTGAGGATGGCACAGGTTCGGGCCGTGTTTTATTCTGTTGTACATAGGGGTCACTCTGAGTTGGAAATGACTCAGTGGCACCTAACAACAAAAACATCCTCCAGTAGATTCTTGAAAAAGAGGGATGTGACTTAAATTTTTTGGAGACCTTATAACTTGTATCTCCAGATACTTGTGTCCTTTAATTCTAGGAAATTTTGTTGAATTATTTTTCAATGGTTTCGTTTTTGTTTTTTTGAACTATTATCCAGACCTCCTGGTCTGGTCCTTTTAATTTTCCGATCTCTCCAGTTTTCTTTTTGTTATTTTGATCCACTTTTGGGGAGGCTTCTCCAACCTTATCTGCAGCTCCAAACCTTCTGTTGAGTTTTTATTTCTGTCATGTTTCTAATTTTGAAGAACTGTTTTGTTTGGTGAATGTTCTAGTTTTATAAGATTGTTTTTTTGTTTCATGGAAGTACTATCATCTCAATTCTCTGAGAATATTATAGTTTGTTTGCTTGCTTTCTTGAAGTTTACTTCTTGAAAAGGCCCTGCTTCCTCCTTACCATATCCTGTATGTTTATTATGGTCTTTTTATTCCTTATATTCCTTGTTAGAGACGCTCCCCAGATATCCACTAATCTTTGGCTGTCAGCTCATGATTAAGAATGGGCGCACTAAAAAGATATGATTGGAAGCTTTGAGCACATGGATAGATAAAACTTGTCAACTTTGAGTTTTACAGGATAGGACTTTTTTTGAGACGTTAGTACTCTTAGGCTTGTCATATTCCTAAAGAAGAGTTTTCAAACTCTTGCCTAAAGAGAAAAGATGTGGCCTTCAGAGTTCTGGGAGCCAAGTGTAGGAATAAGGCTGGATGCTTGTGATTTTATACTGTCACCCTGTCCCCTATTTTCTGTATGGTACTCATGACCTCACCTGTGCCTGTCATTCCCCAGTCCAGAGAATGTTTTACCCTCTCCAGAGATAAAGCTCCAGGCTTCTGTCATTGACCAGCAGCAGTTGAAGAGGGAGTGGATCTGGGAGTCTGTTTCTCAAACAGCTTTCACCCAATCCTTATTTTGCTTCTCCATCCCCTCTTTCACATACTTGAAAGGTACTTGGTATTTCCAAGTCTCGAGTCTTTTAAAAATTCTGTGGTCTAAATTGGGTTGGTTCTCAAAACTTTTTCCATTGCTAGCGTGGTATTTCTTGGGTCTGCTAAGTCAGTCACTCTCCCTCTTACTAGCTTCCAAAATTTTGATGCTACAATCTCTTTTTCTATTCTTCATATTCTTACATGTTCGTGTGTTTTGAACAACCCTATGTTGTGATTTTAGTGGAATTAATTATATAGTAAAACCTGTGAAAGCCAGAACCTGTGAAAGGCGAAAACCTGTCAGAGAAACCAAAAAAGAAAAAAACTCATTGCCGGCAAGTCGATTCCAAGTCATAGCGACCCTATAGGACAGAGTAGAACTGCCCCATAGAGTTTCCAAGGAGCATCTGGTGGATTTGAACTGCCGACCTTTTGGTTAGCAGCCATAGCTCTTAACCACTAAGCCACCAGGGTTTCTGTCAGAGAAGGAAAGCGCAAATACTTTCCACTAATAGGAGTGATAGTAAAATGGTAAGGCTGTACCCTATCAAAGGCAGAAAACTTATGACACCCAGAAAAACAATGCAATCCTGTCGAGTTCCGGCTCTACAGGTTTCACTGTATTTTAAAGCAAATTTATGTACAGATGCTCCTGGATTCTTTAAAGTCGTTAGTAAAGGTTGATTGTTCCAGTGGAAGCGCATTATTACAGAAAAAAATGGATCTTGAATTTTCTTGTTTGTTTAGTGTATTTTATGTGAAATTTGAGTTAAAGATTGAATTTCCATTACTTTTTGTTACATTTCTTTTAAAAAGTGATACAACATTGAAGAAAATGAAAGAATATTGACCTTTTTATGGACTGTATTTTGCGAGGATAATTTATATTTGCTAGTGGCACCTATATGCACCAAGTACTTCAAATCTAATGTATAGTTTATGATATAGAACTTAGTGATATTGGGTTGGCTGTAAAATTATATTTTCTTTTTCAGTTTTATTCCTTTCTTAAGAAAGTTAGATCCTTTTATCATACAAATAAATTTAAAAGAAAAGGGGGCATTTCTTTTACAGATAGCTGGTACCTGAAATGTTATTCCCCAGAGTGGGCTGGGTGGATTGGAAACCTTTAATAATACTCTGGTTTTACACTTTCTTAGCATGATAAAATGTGTACCTCAAGCTATTTTTTATCTTCCTAATCACATCTCTTTGTGTCTGTTCCAAGAACTTTTACAAGGCTTTGTCTTTGTGTTCTTCAGAGTTTAACAACTCCTTTCTGGATTCCCTGGGTTCTGATGAGGACTCTGGAAATGAGGATGTTTTAGATATGGAATACACAGAAGCCGAAGCTGAGGAACTCAAGAGAAATGCTGAGGTAATGTTTCATTTCCTGAGCAGAACTGGTCATATCATCAGTACGCCTCCTGGCTACTCATTCTGTCAGTTTCCACTGCTGGCTCATTTCTGCCTCGCCCCCCTTTTTTTTTAATATAATTTATTTTGTTGTTGTTGAGAATACACAGCAAAAACATACACCAATTAAAGTTTCTACATGTACATTTCAGTGACATTGATTATATTCTTCAAGTTATGCAACCATTCCCACCCTCCTTTTCTGAGTTGTTCCTCCCCGATTAACAGTCATTTCTGTCCCTTTGCTCTTTATTTCTTACACACAAGATTTTAAAAACATCCTAACCACCTTATGTGCCTGTCAGATGGAACTGGGTAACATGGCAGTCAAAGGCATATATATATTAAATTACCTTTAGTTACACCAAGTAACTATTACCTTTATAGTCAAATACCAAAACCAGTTGGTTGTTGCTCAGTGGAAACTATTGAATTAATGATGTTAACTAGTTCGTTTGGATTTTTTTTTTTAATTTAACCTTAAATGCTTTTTTTTTTTTCTATTTTCCAAACTTTCTGTAATTTTAATTACCCAAGCTCCAACTACTAATACAACTCCTGTTAGTATTTTGATATATTCTTTTGTCTTCCTACCCCCATGTGTGCTTAAGAATCATAGTATTATGTACAGTTTTTATCCTACTTGTTTTAAGGCAAATTATTTATAAACATTATATTTTTAATGACTGTACTATATTCCCTCAAATGAACATACCATTTAATTTTTTCACTAACATTGAGCATTTAAGTTCTTTCTGTTTTTCATTGTACTAAGTAATACAGTGAGAAACAATGTGTAATTACAGTGTTTACATATTTTGGAAATAAATTACTGTATCAAAGTTTATGAACATTTTAATGGTTTCTGGTTTACATATGTTTGTTGTTAGTTGCCATCGAGTCCATTTTAACTCATACTGACCCCATGTGCCCCATAGCATTTCCTAGGCTATAATCTTTATGGGAGCAGATTGCCCAGTCTTTGTCCCACAGAGCAACTGGGTGGGTTCAAACCACCAGCCTTTTTGGTTAGCAGTCAAGCACTTAACCATTGCACCACTAGGGTTCCTTGGTTTACATATAGCTATATTCTTTCCCAAAATATTACTTTATAGTGCTCCTGCAGTACATGAATTTCACTGTTTAGTTTTGTTCCTTTTTCTTTTTTTTTACTAACAATATTTTAATTGCATTTTTTTAAATATTAAAAATTAAAAATTCACCCGTAATTCCTACAGCAACTCTTTTGTTTTTCATTCTGCTTTTCAGTACTTAGCCATTAGCATACATATTTTTGTACAGCTGTAATTATTTGCATTTATGTGAGTTTTTTAAAAAAAGTAACATGTTGCCAATCCACATAATTTTTCTTAAATAACTACATAATCTTGTATTGAGTTGATATGCTACTAACCAGTCAACTGTTATTGGGTATATTGTTAGTTCCAACTTTTCATTATTATAGATAATGCTACAGTGAATAATTTTATGCATATACTCTTTTGTTTTGAATTTTTTTCTTCGGATAAATTCTTAGCTGAGGGTGGAATTCTTTGGTCAAAGGGTTATGAACAGTACATCCACTGGATTTTTAATTGAGTCTGACTACACCACATACTGAGCTTAGACATGTCGGTTTTGGTATTAAACTTAAATTCAGTGTTTTGCTTTTATTCAAAATGAAGAGTTAAAAGTTATGTCCACTTCTGTTTTCCAGACAGGAAATCTTCCTCATTCCTATCGGCTCATCAGTGTTGTCAGTCACATTGGTAGCACTTCTTCTTCAGGTAAATGGACATCATATTTCAGCATTTTATAAATGGCCTGATCAGCCAGCATTTGCTCCCTTATCAGGTAGCTCTGTGTCTAGTTTTTCAAGCTATAAGTTGACTAAATCAAGAAAAACTTTGAAATCCTATCCTTGATCACATTAAATGTGAATTGTGTTAATAGGTGTAACTGTTCTGAAGCTCTGTTCGTAAATAACCTAAATTCCCCTGAACAGAATATGTTTATCAAAATAATTGTCCCAGTGTAGTATTTTCCTCCCTTAATTCTCTGTATGTGTTTTTTTTTTTTTTTTTTTTTCTTTAATAATTTTTAGAAACATTGGTTGGGGCAGAGCGGACAAGGTGGATCTTTCTCTTTCTGAAACTTCCTGTACCTGAAAAAAAATTCAGTATGTGAAAAAAAAAGCCTCAATTGAAGATTTTATTTCTTTCAGGTCATTACATTAGTGATGTGTATGACATTAAGAAGCAGGCGTGGTTTACATATAATGACCTAGAGGTATCTAAAATCCAAGAAGCTTCCGTGCAGAGTGATCGAGATCGGAGTGGTTACATTTTCTTTTACATGCACAAGTAAGAAATTTTGCCATATCCGAAGCCACAGGCTAAAAATCACCCAAACTCTTTCTTCTTCCTTTGAGGATAAAATGTTCCCATCACTTGAATGGTTGGCAATTTTTGGTTTTTGTTATTTTTGCCTGGAAACCCTGGTGGCGTAGTGGTTAAGTGCTACAGCTGCTAACCAAAAAGGTTGGCAGTTCGAATCCACCAGGCGCTCCTTGGAAACACTGTGGGGCGGTTCTACTCTGTCCTGTAGGGTTGCTATGAGTCGGAATTGACTTGACGGCAACGAGTTTGGGGTTTTTTTTGGTTATTTTGGCTTAGGACTTGTCTCTTGGTATTTCCTTTTATTTCCAGAATATTTTCTCTCCTCAGTTAGCATTGTTTACTTACCACACAGTAGCATCTAGGTATGGGACTCAAGACTGTTTGTTTTTATGATAGGGGCTGTCCTATCATAAACTTTTTTTATCTTCCTGTTAAGTCAGCCAGAAGATCTGATTTACGTGGATGGGAACTACATGGCATTTTATTAAATTGCCCCCTACTGTTGCCAACAGTCAGAACCCAGGAGGTTAAAATGGTGATTGAATGAATGAGCTGCTTATCTGATGAAATTTAGGCACCAAATTAAGTAGTTCAGTGGTAGAGTTCTCACCTTCCATGCAGGAGACCCAGGTTTGGTTCCCTGCCAATGCACCTCGTGTAGCCGTCACCCATCTGTCAGTAGAGGCTTGCGTGTTGCTGTGATGCTGAACGGATTTCAGCAGAACTTCCAGACTAAGATAGAGTAGGAATAGTGGCCTGGCAATCTACTTCCAAAAATCAGCCGGTGAAAACCCTGTGGATCACAGTAGTCTGTTCCAAAACCAATCATAGGGATGGTGTAGGACTAGGCAGCATTTCATTCTGTGGTGCGTGGGGTTGCCATGAGTTGGGGGCTGACTTGACGGCAGCTAACAATAACAAGGCACCAGTTAGAATTGTGCAGGCTTAACTAGTATCTGTTTTATATGACTCTTTCTCCTATCTTTTTGGTTTTGCTCACCTAATTTTCCTGTTTTACTTTGGTTTATTTTAAGGGAGATCTTTGATGAGCTGCTGGAAACGGAAAAGAACTCTCAGGCACTTAACATGGAAGCAGGGAAGACCACTCGTCAGGCCTCATGAGGAACAAATCCCTGGGTTGGCAGTATGCACTGCGTATTCTCTTACTGCCTCCCACCTCACCTTTCCTCTGCCCGAAAAGAATTTGGAACTCTACTGGATGCGGGAACAACACACAGCTCAGGGCCAACACAAAAGACGAAAATTGCAATTATGCTGAATGCTCCATGCTGACTGTTTTATGGAAACCTTGGTCTCACATCTGTAGCAGATTATCTGTTTTTTCTCCTACAAGAGTGGCACTTCCTATTGTCTTAGGAATACATGTTGTAAATATATATATGTACATCCACTCACAAACACACACACACACACATATATGGAATGAATGGAGCCTTAAAGAGTTAGAATGAGTCCGTTACCAGAGTATGCCTGCTCAAAATTAATAGCACAGTAGTTTGGAGAAGAAATGAAGGTGTCAGAGAGTCTTTTCGCCTGAGAAATGTGTGAAGATACACACATACCAGTTGGCTTTTAGCTTTCATGTTCCTTGAGTAGTTTCATTCAGGTCTCTAATCCTTCGTGTGTTTCTTGTTAGTTCAGTTCACTGGAAAGCCAACGCTCCGTGTTACACTAATGACTGTTTGTCCTCATTACAAGGGGGGGATTTTCTGTCACCTGACTTGAGCTTTTTTTTTTTTTTAATTATTTTATGGATTTGTAATGCCTTTGTTGTTTACATGCAGTCTCCAAAAATGGATTGTTGGTGCTTTGGAATGTGTTATGGTCCCATGTTTGGTGTTCATTGTGCACTCTGCATTTTTGTGAAGAGATTCCCTCACACAGTGTGTTCATCATATGTCATCTATATTATTATTGTGGTGAAGATAGAGTGTTAATTTTCTTCTGTATCGTTCTTCCATGGAATAGGCCCTACCCTAACAGGTTGTAACCAAAACATTAAGAGGTAGGAGGATAATATCCTAGTTGGTACTCCACAGCAGGTGTTCTTTGAAGGGACAGCAGGGGTGCTTAGGGATAAGGAGGAATGCTAATATCTCTGGCTCTCAAACAGAGAGGTCAAGAGGAGTGTTTTTGTGTTAAAGCTAAACCTCTGGACCAGTAAAGGTAACAGCCCCACAAGTGTGGAATTAAGTATGTGAGTTGTAGGATAAAGCTTGAGCATTTAACCATTTGCTGTTTGGTTTTGCCCTTGAAACAGGGTGGAAATTAAAATGTGATTCGTTGAGGTAATCCTGAGAGCTAACAAATAACAAAGGTGCATAATGTATTTATCTTACTTTTTAGGTGCTTTGAGTTGAGGCTAAATGAGGGTACGACATAAAGTACTGCATGAGTCACTCGGCTGACATAACCAGCTTGGTTGAGCAGCTTGTGAAGCCATATAAAGAATGAGTTTGGGGGTGGATTTCTGTCCACAAAATAATTTTGTGAGCCCAGAAATCAGCTGGATCTCACAGTTTAGTATTTTCTTTTTTTTTTTTTACCTTTATTGTCAATGAGGTAGATTACTCGTCAGTTCTGAGATAGGAACAAAACCACATCAGTTTTTCAGGGGGAGAAAATATTTTAAAATCTGTTGGCACAGAGGATACAACATCTTTCCTGGTGGGTTTCCTTAAGATACCTCTAGCCCCGCTCTAGAACTTGGATAAGTTCTGACATAGTAACCTATTCTAAAATTTAACATCTATGAATTGTATGTGGCCTCAGCATTTTTGCTTAACTACTGATAAATGCTTTGCCTCTTTTCCATCTACACACGTATTACTATAGCGAACGTTCCAAATTGGTACAGTGGTAAAATAGCAGGAATAGTTTAGAACAAAGGGGAATATTTGTTTTAAAAACTAGCTTTTAAATTTTGTTTCTTTCCCGCCATGGAGCCTCTTTTTGTGTGTGTGTATGTGTTTTTTGCTTGAAAATAACTGGTTCCCTCATAAATGAGTGAAATGGTGATCAAATTCTTTAGCTATTTATTATTTCTCTTTTGTGTCCATATTCAAGAGCATTGAGAGGCACCGTTAAAAATTATTGGGCATGATTAGAAGTGAGAGCTGCATTAGGGCATAAAGAAAAATAGAAATAATGCCATAAGCCTGAGTTGCCTCTTAAAGCAGCCTGTGGAATTGCTTTGGTAGCTTGCATGTGTGTACAGTTTAGAAGTACACTTGGCTCAGAAACCTGATCTGATTTGGGCTTCATCTCTTGGGCAGGACTTTAGTTGAAAATAGGTTACTGGGGTATATTGAGTTATCCCACTGCTCATATACTCAGATTTTTCTTGATATCTGTCCATTGTGGCCTTGTAAGTCTTCCCCCTTTCCCTTCACTTCTTTAACTACCACTCCTTTCACTGCAAAGTTATTTTGTCATTTTAGTTCAGTGAAGGGTTAGTGACTACAAATGGAGATTTCAACTGGACTATGTTGGTGAGGTTTGTTACTGTTTGGCTGTATATATTTAAAAATTATAAATAGATAATATATTCTTTTTTGCAATGTGATCAGTTTGTCCAGAATCGGGGGATGAGGCAGTTGGCATGTTGGGGCCAGGAAGGGACAAGTTAGGTAGGAACAGTGCTTGAAGCCCAGGCAGTCTGCACAATAACTCATTAATCTTCCCATTGAAAATACCAGATGTGTGGTTACATTACTTGAAATGATAGTGAATTGGAACTTGACAGCACTTAGTTCTGCACACAACCTTTTGCTCTAATTGGGATTTTTTAGAAGAGAAACATAAAGCAAATAAAATTCGAGATTATTTTTACCTAATATTATGGACTTTTGGAAAGTTGAATGAATGTGGCCAGATGCTGTTATCACTTCAGTAGCCATGACTTTAATTTCGGCCTTTGAGAAGATTGACTGTTTTGTAGAGAACATTCTTCTATGTGTGTCCACACTCATAAGTTTGGCCTCAGCAGGATAGACTTAGAAGCAAATCCATGAATTGTTCTGCTGTTTGTATTTTGATTCTAAAAGCTGTTTGTTCACTTGCCAAGGTCTGTTAATTTCAGGCCTAACTTAAATGGCTTAATGATAAATTGAACAAATGTAAATATGTTTACATTTTAAGAAATATGCAGCATATTACAGATCAGTTAATTGACTCCAAGAGGCAAATACTAGACTATACCTTTATTTCTCTCTTTGATCAAGTATAAAATTATTCTAAAAGATAAGCTTTAAGAATTAAAACCTCAGCAAGATAATTCACAAATGTACTTATTCTTCCATACTGCAGTTAGCATTATGTAGCTATGTAAGTACAGCTCTACACATGTACAGCTACAGATAGAGTTGTATAATGAAACTTACCTGGAGACACCTAAATTAAAGATTCTTAGTGTTTCATATATATAGTTGAGTGTTCTGGGTGTAGAGAGAGCATTTGGGCAACATACAGAAAAAAAGTAGTACATAAACTCATTTAAGATTTACTGAAAGGTTATGTTAAAAAATATCCTTTCCCTCTTCTCTGTCCTCTGAAATGACTTCAGTGGATGCTCTTGGTTATCCTACCTTTGTTTCTCCCTGTTTGATTTAATTGACCCCTTATGTGGTCTTTTGTTTTAAATCAGGGAAACAGAACTAGATCTGCAAGTACACGTGAATATTGTATATACGGGGAGATTTTTAGAAAAAGCACCAAAAAGCACTAAGTCTCATAAAAATGTCCCAATAAAACAGATCTGTCCTTGTTCTCCCCATCTTCCTTTACACTGAGTAATGTCCTCTTGCAAGTGTGTACCAAAATCAAACAGATTTTCTTCCATCTAACATCTTTCCTAATGCATTACTTCAAAATTCTAGTTCTGTCTCAATTGATATGTCTTATTAACATCTGGAAATAATATTTTATTGGGAAACTATAGCTTGTTAGGCCCTGAGAGTTTTGTGAGAGTTATTTTGCTGTGTCTCACCACAATCATTGAGTCCTTTATGGCGTGCTTTGCTTACTCCACTTCAGGCAGTCTTTTTGTTGCATCCTGTTTATACACAATTGGTAAATTGTTTCCTTTCCATGTGTGCCATGTGTCGGAGGTTTTGAAGTATTTAATAAAAGGTGTGCCAGTGTGAACGTAAGCAGTTGCTCTTACTAACACTGGACTTTGCTTAGAGTGCAGAGATTCAGAGTACAGGGACCTCCACTGGCATAAGAGTAGAGTGGATGAGGGTCTGAATCAGGACCCAGCTTTGTCAGAGGGTGCAGTGCCAGAACACAGAAGAGCAATCAACTGGTCTATTTCAAGAACAGAGTGGGCCTATCCAAGAGTGAGACCACATGGGGTTGTCCACACCTCTCTTCTTCCCCAGCTTTCCCTCCCTCTGATCTTGTCCTTCCTGCCCCAACTTATCTGGGCTATTGTCAGTGTTGTTTGTTTATGCTTATGGAGAGGAAAACAGAAGTGGGGTTCCTACATTTTGCCTGATTGAGCTGCTACCAGCTTGGCTAGCAGCTTTGGCCACATTATATGTGAAGTGGTTTTTCTTTGTGTTCTGAGTGACTTTTGATTCTGATTCTTCATGTTGTTTTGTATGGAGCAGCACTTTATCTGTGTTTTAGCAGAACTATTCCTCTGTATCCTTTACAGTTTTTCCTTGTTTTTGTTTCCTTTTTTAAATTATGCATAGAGTTTTTGTGTGTGAAATTAAAGCCTTTATTAACCTTCTGTAGGTGACTGTTATTTCTGAAAAGGACACATTCTTGCAGACACTTTTAAAAGTTAGTTGATGAAGCTGTGGAAATCTGTTTGCCTTCTGACCCTACTTCTTTGCAGCACTGCTAGCCCTTAAAGGAAAGGACGTGAAATGGCAAACCAGTATAGGGCTGGAGTCACCATTGGGTTCCCGTTGTTTTCATCTGAGGAGTCTGTGAGCTTTGCAGAGGCTTCTGGAGCAGCCTGTAAACTTAGCATGTTGGCCTTAGCTAAGCTCTTCCTTTGCCTTGTTATTAAGAGTACCAGAGAGGGGGCGCAGTAGTGTTTGCATTTCGTGTTTACCTTAATCCTCAAGCCTAAACCCAATGGATATGCTGCGCTCACTGGGCACTGGTTAGTGAGTATTGTGAAGTCTAATAGGGTATCTAGGGCATTCAGTTCTGCTTCAAAGAAGGGGTCCCTGTAGCTCTTGTGACCTGGGTAAGGCAGTGAGGAAAGTATATGTGAAAAGGGAACACCATTACTTTGGGAAAGATGTAAAACTAAAATGCTTCAGCCCACCTGCCAGGGATAAAAATGAGTCGTGATAGAGAAAAACCTGGGGATGGCTCCTCGGAACTCTACTGCACTGGAGTGTTTGGCTGCTCTTTTAATAAAGCAAAAGCTCTAGAACAGGATGGTTAAAAGTGATGCACCCTAGGTTAGAATCAATCCAGCCACCTTCTGGGGAGCTGGGATTGAGATCACAGAGACCTTCTGGAGGCATCCTCTTTAGGTAGGTTACAAACAAGTGGCATTGCCACAGGTTCTGCTGCTCACAGGTACAACTATAAATTTTCCCTCCAATTGGCATAGATGATAGCAGTAATAAAAACAATGAAACCCCCCCCTACCCCCGCAAGCAGGGTAGGGTAGTGCTTTACAACCACAGCTACGCTTGCTTCTCAAAATAGTCCTTTTTCTTTCTTGAGGCTTTGTTGCTTCCATCGAGGCAGGGCAGAGAAGGCAGCTGGAGTCATCCCCAAGACCTTTGTGAAATCCTCAACGGACAAGTGCTCCTAGAAGCAGACAGGGACCAGAGGGCAAAGATCACATTATTGCCCAGAGTTTGTTCTGATGAGTCATATAAACCCTTTGCCATTGAGTTGATTCTGACTCAACGGTGACCCTATGTGTGTCAGAGTAAAACCGTGCACCATAGCGTTTTCAATGGTTGATTTTTTAGAAGTAGATTGTCAGGCCTTCTAGGCGCCTCTGGGTGGACTGTAATCTCCAACCTTTCCTTCAGCGGCCGAGCTAACCGTGTTCCCCACCCAGGGACTCCTGGATGAGTCATGTAGACGTAGCATGTAAATCAAATGAAGAGCAAAAGCAGGCAATGTCATGAGAGCCAGGAAAGGGCTAGGGAGGACAAGGGCAGCATGTGGGGGTTCCAAAAGTTTGGTCCCTAAATGATTACATTTGGAACATAATAAAAAGACAGTTCCTTTTCCTTTGACCAAGGTGAAGTTCATATCAGCCCTGAAATAACAAAGACGTTTGACTAAGCTTGGTTAAGAAGTTGCTTCCCTTTCAAGGTCTTCATTTTCCTCTCTATAAAATGGGAGAAATCTCATAAAGGCCAATTTTTGCTCCTTTATAAGTTTTTATGAGGATAAAAAAAAATCATATTAAAAAAAAACCAAACCCATTGCCGTCAAGTTGATTGTGACTCATAGCGACCCTATAGGACAGAGTGGAACTGCCCCATAGGGTTTCCAAAGAGCACCCGGTGGATTCGAACTGCTGACCTTTTGAAGAAGATACCTTGTTTTCAGTGCCCTTTCATAGGTGATACATACGAAAAGGCACTGAAAACAAGGTATCTTGTTTATCTATATTTAGCAAACAACCTGCAGTGAGAGGATGCTTCTTTACAGGAGCTGGAGCAGAATAAGCAAATGGACCCTAGGAGGGAGTCGGCCTGGGTCTGGCTATGTAAGACTTGGTTGCTGTTATCACAGAAGAATGGCTTTTCTAACAAAAGCCCATTATCCTAGGGAGGGGCTCTCCCTCCTGGATACTATCTTGCTTTGCATCAAGTTAGCCAACTGGCTGCAAGGGAAATAAGGCCGGCCCTGTCCCTAGTGGGCAGAGCAAACAGCATTCTAACCTACATAAGCTGCTGTAGCATTTACAAAGACACTTCAGGACACTTGAATATTCCCATTTTCAGGTGATAAAGCTGAAGTTCAAAGTTCTCTGATTCCTAATCCCATATGTGTTCCACTACACCACACTAACTCTCCCTTCCTGGTGTGATTTCAGGGATACTGTAAAGGCTTCATCCACCAGGTGCTCCTTGGAAACTATGGGGCAATTCTACTCTGTCCCATAGGGTCACTATGAGTCAGAATCGACTCGACGGCAATGGGTAAAGGCTTGTCATCTTTCCCTCCCCCACCTGCCAAGCATACTACCGTGCTTGTAGTTGATGGACATTTTACCATTACAGATAGCTTTATTCTTTTTGGCTTACAGGTTGGTTCTGGATAGAAGGCAACATGTTGAGCCTCAACCATCATTTATATTCCCCTGGAAATGTATCAGCCAGATTATTTCCTGGGAGCAGTTTTGCTGAGAGATGGTGAGAGGGTAGCGGCAGAAAGTACAACTGAAGTGGGGGATCCTAAGAAGAGAAACTGGAAAGCCCAAAGAACAAATTCAGAGACAGATTTTGCCTAGCTATTTTGAGTAGGAAACAAAATATTTAGATAAATGACTTGTCCTGGCTTCTCCTAAGAGTGATCTAGAAGCATTAGATAGCAGAATTCTACCTGTTTACTCTTGGGTTGGAAGTCACGACTGGGAGTCACTATCTTTCTAGGCCATAAATGAGGGGATTGACTGAAACAACCTTCATCCCAACTCTAACATGATACGATAGCCATGCTGTTTAAGACAAGCCAAATACCCTCAAGGCACACTCAAGTAAAAACCTCAAATTAAAGTTGCTATAAAACAGCTTCTCCCAACCTTCGTCTCTGCTCCCTGAGGCACCAGGAGGGGAGAGATTGGGGTAAGAGAGTTGGGCTTCCTTTAAATGTTATGCTTTGCTAAGGTGGTTGCCCTGGGAAGCGTTTTATTGACTCCAGAAGAGAGCCCTGAATTGAACAGTTTTTTGAGTCTGAAGCCCTAGTTCTCTAACCTGTCATTACACTTGCCTCCTGCCCCTGGGGCATTCTCTCCTCAAGGCTCCTAGGTACCTTCCCTGCTCCCCCAGACAGGGCGGTGCACTACCTTGTTTGGGGAGAAGAGAGTAAATGAGTGGTTTGGGCATCAGTGGATGGGGAAGGGCTACCATACCCCAAGTCTGCTCGCAGTCCCCCAGGTCCCTCACAGCTGTGACTGCTGTGTCCTAGGTCTCTGCTGTGGCCATGCTGGTCCAGCCAGGCTGGGTCCTCAGTACTGTCATGACTGCTGGACTCTGACTCCTTGGGTTAGATAGCAGGGACGGCCCATCCCAGTGGACTTGTATCTTTCCATTAGTCCTGGTCTTGAACCCTGTAGTCGGGCCAGCTGATTACCTGTCACACCCATGCCCACATCCACCTCCCTGTGGTTTATTCATTGGTGCTGAAACACTTAGGTTATCCTCTTGCTACTCTGCCTGCAGCCAGGCCCCCACCGTGATCACTGCTGTCACCAGCTCACCTTTGAATGTGAAGCAGGCAGAGAGGTCTGAAGACCTCCCAGCCTCCTGCATGGCAAGAATGTACACTACTCCCAAGATAAAAAATCAGCAACAGATGACTGATTTAAAAATAAGGTCAAAGACTGCTTCTACCATGGTGGGTTTCTTTTTTCCCCTTGATTCTGTTTGTTCCATTCAAAGTTAACACCCGTTTCAGCCTCCTGTCCATCATCTAGTTCAACGACATTGGCCACCTTCCCTTTAGAAGTCCTTTCTTTATGCCGCAGGATACGATGATAAGAGTGGGACTCAGAAGGCCTGGCTTTGCTCCTAACTAGTTATGTGACAGTAGGCAAGTCACTTCCCCTCTTTGGACCTCAGTTTTTTCAGTTGTAGAACAGACAGTAAGAATACTGACATTTATAGAGTACTTTCTATGTACCAGAGGCCAGGCTAAGCTTGTCACACGTATTGTGATCAACCCAATGCTATAGTGAGGACACAGATACCTCCTAGCCTTCTAGCCACCTCACAGATAGGAGGGTCCGGGAGAGAATTTGTAGGAAAACGCTCTCCAGGGTGAAGGGCAGGATGCCATGCTCTGGGAACAATGCATTTATATATATAGCGATATATAGCGAGGCCAAACCCCTAACAGACTTAGAAAGTATGACTGCCTGCTGAAATGTATTTTGACCTGGAAGCCTCACAGAGAAGGAGCCCTAGTGGTGCAGTGGTTAAAGTGCTCGGCTGCTAACCAAAAGGTTGGCGATTTGAACCCACCAGCTGCTCCACAGGAGAAAGATGTGGCAGTCAGCTTCCGTTAAGTTTATAGCCTTGGAAATCCTATGGGGCAGTTCTATTCTGTCCTATAGGGTCACTATAAGTCAGAACTGATGGTAACAAGTTTGTTTTTTTGTTTTTTGGTCCCATGAGGGCCTCAGACAACATGGTCACCATTAAACTCGTTGTCCCCCTGTATGTTCAGTCTCATGGTGACCCTATGTGTTATAGACTAGAACTGCTCCCTAGGGTTTTCAAGTCCGTAATCTTTTGGAATCAGATTGCCAGGCCTTTCTTCCACAGTGCTGCTGGGTGGGTTCAAACTGCCCACCTTTAGCATTAGCAGTTAAGCGCAAACTGTTTTCGCTGCCTAGTCGCCATGAGTCAGAATCAACTCAACGACAGTTCAGTCTGACCCAGGGTTTTATATCTTAGAGAACAAATCATCGTTCTCCTCTCTCACACACCCTTTATCCAGTAATCACCAAGTATCCTTGATTTGACCTCCTAAATATTGCCCTAAGCTATCTACTTCTCTCCACCTCCTGAGCCACCACCTATCCTGGACTCCCATCCATCTCCCAGCCTGACAGCTGCACCACTCTCCTAGCTGGTCTCCTATGACTGCTTTGCCATCTGTGATCCATTCTTCATGAGAAGCTTATAGTGATCTTTTCAAAATGCAAATCTGACCATCACTCCCCTCCTTCAAGTCGTAATGGCTTCCCTCCACTTTTAAATCCTTCACATGGCACAGAAGGTACTGCCCAGTTTGGCCCCTGCCTTCCTCGCCAGCTGCCTCTTCCCAGCTCTCGGCAGGCAGCCACTGTAGCCACCTGGCAGTCTTGCCACACACTGTGCTAGTCTCTGCCTCTGGACTCTGCGTATAACTTTCCTTTCTCCAGGAATAACCGCCCCCCACTTTGCTTGAAAAATTCCTATTCACCTTTCAGAAGGAAATCCTCTCTGACCAAAGCAGGTTCCTGTTTTAAATACTCTTGATGGCACCTGCACTTTACCTCTGTGGCACTTATCACCACTGAAATCAAACACTAGTGTAATTAGGCGTCTTTGATCTCTCTCCCCCACGAGGACGTAAGCCCACGGAAACCCCACGAAACGGGACCAGTCAATATTGTTCCCAGGGCATCACCAGCACCTCCTCATCTGCAGGGCACATGGGCGGTGGGGGTGGAGGGGTCAACTGGACCATTCAACAAATAAACAAGCCCTATCTTCTCGTCCAAGGAGCCCTGGTGGCACTGTGGTTAAGTTCTCAGCTGCTAACCAGAAGGTCAGTGGTTCGAACCCACCAGCAGCTCCTCAGGAGAAAGATGTGGCAATCTCCTTCTGTAAAGATTTCAGCCTTGGAAGCCCTATGGGGCGGTTCTACACTGTTCTATAGGGTTGCTAGGAGCTGGAATCAACTCGATGGCAATGAGTTTGGTTTGGTTGGTATCTTCTTGTCCTCTTTGGCGAGTCCAACCCACCTCCTTCCTGCTGGGGTCCACACCCTCTGGGAGCTCATCCATCGGCTTGTTTACCAGCTGTTCCAGGGAGAAGATGGGGAGAGGCCCAGAACTGAGGTTGCTGTTAGCCTTGAACACGTCCAGTTTGGGGCTTGTGATCTCCTAGGGAAGGAAAGGACACGACTGGTTACTTCAGCTGGTTTGTCACTCCCTCTCAGGCTGCCTGTCTCTGAAGTCAGCATTGATTCTAGGGCACCTCCTTCAAGAAGCCCTCCTTGACTCCCCTACTCCCACCTCACCACCTCCCGCACACACTCCTCATAAGAACATACACGTTGGATTGGACCCACGAGCTAAGAGCCTACTGGTCTTTGTCTGACTAAATCCAGTTGGTGCGAGATGACTATTTTGTTCAATAACCAACCTTCTCCATGGCTTCACCCACATGTTCAAATCTACCGTGATCATTTGTGACCCTCTCTCACCTATATCTGTGGTAAAATTGTCATCTGTAAACTCACTTGTTGTGTGCCATCAAGTTGATTCTGACTTATAGCGACCCTATAAGACAGAGTAGAACTGCCCCATAGGGTTTCCTAGTCTGTAATGTTTACAGGAGCAGATCGTCAGGGTTCGAATTGTAGACCTTTCCATTCAAGTACTTAACCATTGCGCAACCAGGGCTCCTGTAAATTCACTTAGCCTTGCTGTATTTGTACTTTTCAGCCTTCAAAGTTAGTCTACCAAGAAGGGTTTATTGAGGGCCACCGGGTATACTCAGCCTGTGGGTGGGGAGAGGTGCCCTGTGTATTAGCTGTTGATTATCCCAGTCTGCTTGTGAAATTGCTCTTGTTTTCTGGACGTACTTCTGCAGCATCTACTCTGTCTTGTTTCCCCTGTAAGCCTGTGAACTCCTGACAGAAAAGCTTTGATTTCATTTTCCCGTATCCCAGGCCAGTGGTCTACAGACTAAATACATTGCTGTCAACTAATTGAAAAATTGAAGGCGTTGCAGTTATCCTACCTGGAGAAGAGATCCCAAGAGTGACAGTGTGTAGAGGAATCACTGTTTCTCAAAGTGTAGTCCGTGGGCTAACTGTATTAAATTATCTGGGCCTGTTGTTAAAAACATGCGGGTTCCTAGGTCCCAGCCCAGTTCTACAAACCAGAATCTTTGGGAGCAGGCCTCAGAATCTGCATTTTAATAGGCCTTCCCCTACCCCCACGCCATCACCCAGACTCTTATGCATGATAACATTTGAGAACCATTTCACTAGGGAATGGAGGAAACACAAGAACTAGACACATTAAAGTTAAACAGCAAGAAGAACTTCCATAAGAAGTTGGGGGAAATGATAGGACACTGGCCTCTTCTCTGGAGCTTTCTGACCACCAGCTGGCCACTGCAGGGCCAGCCACCTGGTACAGATTCAAGGTGTTGAGGGAGAAGGCCAAGGCCAGCCCCCTGCCCCATACTCACAGCAGTGAGCTGGCCCCAGTCCTCAGGGTTTCCAAGTTCTGACTTCAGCTCCTCGTAGGATTTGGCGTTCTGCATTTAAAGTAAGTGACAGATTAGACACAGGTCTTAGGAGAAAGGAGGAAAAACCATCTTCCTTCAGGAGTTAAAAGAAGGCTGGCTTCGGCCCTGGTTGTGAAGAGGGGGAAGAGAAGCTCTGGCTGGGCTTGGGGAGGGTCCCGGGGAAAGGAGATTAGATGGTGAGCATGGAATCAAAGAGGCTTTCTGTTCCTGCTCAGCCTGACAAGGGGATGGAGAGGAGTGGGGTGTTCCCTCCCTCCTCGGGCAGCACTGTGTGCAGCTGCACGCAGCCTTGAGAACCTGCCGACACTGTGTAGGCTCTGAGGACATTTGGGGTCCTGAAGAACTGGGGAGCTCCACGCAGAGTTGGCGAGAAACCCTGCTGCAGAAGAGTGAAGAGGGTGGAAGGGAGCACGGCTCCCTGAGAGGCCCCATCTCTATATCCCCAGTGCCTGGCACTGAATCCGACACATCATTTATGTTATGCTGAATGAATGAAGTTGAGAGAGAAGCCAGCGCAGACTTGAGGGCAGGGGAAGGCTGTCAGGGTTGTTGACTTGGGGCACTGATGTGGATGTGAGAAATTCTGGCATCTAGATTTGCAGCCTTGAGATTTGTTTGAATTCAGACTCGACGAAACTCAGCCCTTCAATCACTGGATTAAAAAAAAAAAATTTTAGCAAATTAATCTAAGCTCTCCACGTTCCCTAAGCTTGACTGTTGCATAAATTTTGTTGCTGTTGTTGTGTGCTGCCGAGCCAATTCCAGCTCATAGCAATCCTATATGACAGAGTAGAACTGCCCTACAGGGTTTCCTAGGCTGTAATCTTTACAGAAGCAGATCACCAGGTCTTTTCTCCCACAGAGCAGCTGATGGATTTGAACTGCTGACCTTTCTGTTAGCAGCCCAGCACTTAACCATTGCCCCACCAGGGCTCTTGCATCAATTTAGAGCACCAGAAAGCACCAGGCTGGGACTCAATCTACCCTGGCCTTCCTCCTGCCTACAGAAAACCTCTGCTAGGGTTCCACTGTGAGGATCTGCCCCCAGGACTCTGCTTCTATAGGGGTCGGTTTAGGAACCACTCTGTGGAAGTCTGATTCCCTGTCCCTAGGGTTAAGGACCACATATCTACGCCATTTTGCTTAGGCTTTAGGGCCAGGAAAGCATTTGTCTGTCTTTTAGAACTGACATGTTTCCTTTTATCTGGAATGAAGATCCAGCAGCACTGTCAGGTAGAACTTTCTGCAACGATGGGAATGTACACGTGCACTGCCCAATATGGCAGCCACTCGCCACACGTGGCTACTGAGCTCTTGAAAGGTGGATAGTGCAACTGAGGGATTAAATTAGTTATTTATTTAATTCTAATAAATTTAAATTTAAAAGGCCAGGGCAAATCTTACCTGCGATTTCAGCAGTTTCAAGCTAACTAGAGTGCACAAGGCTTTATATTATTACCTAGTTTCTGATAGAATTCCTTCCCTCTCCCTCAGCAGGGGGCATAATATTCTTACTGCAGCCTTACTTTTTGTTCTAAGTCATCTCTACCAGTTGCCATTGGGTCAGTTCTGACTCATGGTGACCCATGTGTGTCAGAGTATAACTGTGCTCCATAGGGCTTTCAATGGCTGATTTTTTGGAGGTAGACTGCCAGACCTTTCTTCCAAGGAGCTTCTGGGTGGATCCAAACTTTCAACCTTTTGGTTAGCAGTTGAGTTTGTTAACTATTTACACCACTCGGGGTCTCCAAGTCACCTCTAATCCCCTACAAAGAAGTAGGTCACACATCACAAGGGAATAGGAAAGCCTGTGGGAGTCAGCCCTGCTCTGTGGGTGTGCCATGAAGAAGCCACATAGAGAAGGGTGGACTGGGCAGGGGCCACTCACACTCCACTTGAAGGGGTCCCAAGCCAGGAACCAGCCTGTGAAGGTGGGGGGCTCATGTCCCTGCTTCACTACAATGATGGGGGTCTCAGGGTCACGGCCGCTGGGGTGGGTCTTGAGGTACTCCTGCGCTGTGATGGCTGCTGCCTTCTTCTCGTTCTCATTGGCATGCTTCCCAATCCAGAAGAAGACCTGTGGAGAATCCCAGGGCTCAGCTGGTCCTTCCTGTTTTCCCTGGCCCACAGGGCTCTGCTTCAGCTTATTCCAAATTCGGATATCTAACCGTTGAGTCTGGGCTCTGCCACCACCCAGCCATATGACCTTGGCTCCATCTGCCCTGGGCCTTAACTTTTGCATCTGGGAAATGAGGATGTTGAACAGATGCCCTCTACTTGAGAATTCTGCAAATCTGTGACTCCCAACATGCTGGAGCTCAGATCCTCAAAAGCACTCCTGCCGCCACACGAAATAAGACATTGGGTGGAGAAGAATACCTCCTACCCAGAGACCCCAGGCATGCTCCCCCTTTCTTCCTCCTTCTTAGGCTCCTGTTGTTCATAATCCAGTTCCCAGGGAGAAAATATGTGGGGGCCAAGAAAACGTCAACACCTACTCTTTCTCAGCCTGGGGGACTGAGGCAGACCCCAGGCCGTTGTCCTACCTGATCCCAGACATCAAGCAGGAAAACATCATCCTCTTCCAAGTCATCCTGATTGAAGTCAGGGATTTCTGTGGCCAGGAAGCGCCCGGTCTGGTTGGAACATTCAAAGAGCCGGGGGGTAATGGCTAGGGTTTCTTCCTGCAGTCTGCAGGATGGAGAGAAAATTGTGTTGGTGGAGGATAGGAGATTCGAGGACATTGAACTTTGAGGGACTCTAAAATGGAAAGGGGGGCCTCGTGGTGCAATGGTTAAGTGCTCAGCTGCTAACCAAAAGGTTGGCAGTTCGAACCTACCCAGCAGCTCCGGGCGAGAGAGACCTGGCGATCTGCCCCCATGAGGATTATAGCCTTGAAAATTCTATGGGGCAGTTCTACTCTGTCATATAGGGTCACTGAATCAAAATCAACTCGATGGCACACGACAACAACAAAACGGAAAGCCCATCTTCTAGCAAAATGCCCTCTCTTCCGATCAAACGAGAGGATCCTCCCTCAGCCCAAGAGTGCTCTAACAGAGAAAATTCCAGGACATGCATTCTAGTGACTCATCTACAGTCCTGTTAGGAAGTTCTTTCTGGTATTTTCCCTCCATCTCTCCTGCTGCTACTGCAGCACAGGCCCTTTTGCTTTTGAACTGGAAAATGGTAGAGCATGGATATTCTTTAGGAAAACCCTTTGAAAGAGGATTTTCAGCTGGTGCTCCTCAGCATCCAGGCCTGTGTTCAGCACCCGAGGGAAGGGGCTGGGACGGCTCCAGCACGTTCTTCCTATAGCTTGCCCCTCTCTTTGAGCTGCCTCCTATGGCTGTGAACTCCCTTTGCCAAGAGACACTCCCAGCCCCAGGCATGCCCTGATGAGCAGCACAAACACAACCCGTTCCCAAGACGCTCCAGGGCAAGACTGCCCTGGATCCATCATGTAGCCCTAGGGGCCTGGCATACAAAGTTCTCAGTTCCTTCCTGCCGCAGGCTCTGGACCACAGGGGTGGAGGTGCCGGGAGGCTCCCCAGCCTCGGAAGGTGGGCCAGAGGCAGAGGGACCTGCTTGTTACCTCTTGGTGTTGGCATAGGGGGCCTTCCCGCCCAGGGCCATCCAGAAGTTGGCTGGCTCCTGCCCTTCCACCACCACTTGCTTCTCCGTCCGGGAGATGGTGTCAGCCACCATCTTGGCCATCTCCCGTTCGTCCCCGCTACAACCCTGGGAAAAGGAGGGGGTCAGGTGGGCTGGGGGAGACCATGTCTAGTGCCACCTCCTGCCCCTACCCTTCCCCAGACTCTGGGGTCTGAGAAGGCACCCCTGGGTCAGACCTCACACACAGCTGAAGCAGCGCCCATTCTCCCATCCTACCCTCTGTCCTTGATGTTCTGAAGAATGGCAGAAGAGACAAGAGAGTCACCATTCCCCTTAGAGGGCAAGATGTGAACTCCAAGAGGCTGAGAGTCCTCATCACAGAGGTAAATGGAGAGACAGAGGCAGACACAGAGAGAGCTCAAGACATAGAGACAGACCAACACTGAGACAGACAGAGGTGCTGGAGCCAAACAGAACAAGAGAGACTGACTCAGACATAGAAGCAGAGAATCTGAGGCCTGGCTAGAGATGGGGCAGAAAGACCCAGAACTGGGGAAGCGGCAGACTGAGTCTCAGAGGCAGCAGGGAAAGGGGAGAGCAGAGCCTAGTCAGCATGAGGTCCCGTCCTGACCAGGTCTGCTCAGAGGCTGGATGACCCCAGGACCCAATTGGGGATGCGGGCCTCTGGGCCTGCACACACCTTCCCACACCACAGGTAGCAGCAGGACTGGGTCTTGAGGACAAAGACATCGTTGGAGTTGAGGGAGGTGGCCCGGGCCAGGACTTCAAAGGCCTTGGTGTTGTTGGCGCTGGTGCCCTGGACTTGGAACAGACGTGTGGGGGGCACGGGCTCCACGCTGTTAGCCCGGGAGGTGCCTCCCTGCAGGGTGTGGGGAGAAGGCCAGGAAAGAGGGGGAGAAAATTAGTAAAGAAGATCATGATGTGGGGCTCAAGGGGCACAAAGAGAACCAGAGAGGAGGAGGGGCTGGGGTGGGGTCGGCGTCCCCCTTTGCTCTTTACCCTCCAGTTCCTTTGACACAAACTGTGTCATCACAGACACAAACTAATCTTTTCAAAGCGTTGCTTTGATTATGGATCCCTCTGCTCAAACACCGTCAGTAGCTCCCCACTGCTTATAGAATAAAACCCAAGCTCCTCAGCAAGGAGTCGCCCCTGGGTAGTGCAAACGGTTAATGCACTTGACCATTAACCAAAAAGTTGGAGGTTCAAGTCCACCCAGAAGAGCCTCGGAAGAAAGACCTGGTGATCTACTTCTGAAAAAATCAGCCACTGAAAGCCCTATGGAGCACAGTTCTACTCTGCTACACGTGGGGTCACCATGAATTGGAGTCAACTCAATGGCATTTCAAGACCCCACATGGGGAAGCTGCAAACTGCCTTTCTAGACTCACTGCTCTTCCTTGCCTTCCAGGTGAGCCAGGCCAGGCTTCTCACTGCCCATGGAGCCTTCCTTGGGGCTTTTGTCCATGCTGCCACCTGCAGCATAGGCCCCATTTTACTCTGCTAAGCTCTGCAGCTCTGACCTGAATGTCAAGACCACCTCTTAATCCCTTCTCCACTGTGAATTCTATGTCTATTCCCAGATCAGGGTATTCACACTCCCTTTCAAAATCAACTTTTCTTTCTCGCACTTAACCCCACTGCACCTCAGACTGAATTCACTGCTCAAGCACAACCACGTGTCTTTCCACTCCCAATAAGATGGTAAAAGTATCAGCATGTCATTCTTCTCCCTGTTAGGGGCTTTGCAAAGGGCTGTGTGTTTAGTAGGTGCTCAATAAATAGGCTACAGATTCAATGCATGCATGAGAGGACTACCTCCTCATGTTGGGATTCACCAATGCAGTTTGGATGGGTACATCGTTTAAGCAAATCTAGCCAAAAAACTTCCTTTTTCAAGAGGATTCAAGGAGTTGGTGTGTGGAGAATGGACTTGGCACACAGTAGGTGCTCATTACATGCATTTTTTTAAAGTGACTGGACGGTGGTTTCTATTATCAGTTCTACTTAAGTGAGGGGGCCTCTGACAGTCCTCTTCTACCAAGAATGGGCCTTCCCCTCCCCGGGCCCCTTCCATACTCTCACCCTACAGGCCCTCCTGCAGACGGGGCTCTTGTCCTTCCCCACCTCCCAGAGGCCCACTCCACCTTGGCTGTGGATACTGCCAGGCACCTCAGTCCAGCAGCTGTACCTGGTAGACCACCATGCGTCCCTTGAAGATGGACATGAGGTGGGGCGGCTCCTTGCCCATTGGGACCCGGATCTGCACTGGTTCACCGTTGTACTTCTGGTCCAGGATAACGGCTTGATATGCCGAGGCTGTGATTTCATCCTGGCTGGCCTGCTTACCCTGGGAAGAGCAGGAGGGGAGGGTAGGACAGAGTCAGCCCCCGACCATGAGCCCATCCCCAATCTCAGCAACAACTCCCCCCAATTCTGACCTGGCCCCAAATCCAACTGTCTTCCCCACCCAGCTCCACCCTGGAGACGGACAAAAATGCCACTTGACTCAGACCTCAACTCTGAACCCAGTCCCAATCCTTCCCCAGCCTCAGCCCTACTCTGACCCACCTGCAACCCAGCTTTGACCCCAAACCTCTTTTCCTCCTTACTGTACTTCCCTTGGGGAAGCACCATGGGTACCCACCACTGATCCCCAGTCCCCATGTATCTCCCTGAGCCCTCATTTTGGACATAGAAACTCACACAAATAGGCAGAGCAAAGGGAATGTGCAGGAGGTGATGGAAATGCAAAGGAAGACTCAGAGAACCAAAAAGGAAAAGTGTTGTGAATGGGGATACTCAAAATCAATGGAATCTCACAGCCAAAGCAGCTCCATACTAGAGCAGGCTGCATCTTGAGTGAGTTCCCCATAACCAGAGATATTCAGCTCAAAGGTGATGGACCACTGGCAGAGGTATGGTGGAAGGGGCTGAGCTGACTTAGCTCTGGGTGGACAGGACCTGACCTGCCAGATGTAGAGCAGGTGGTGCTGTTTCTTGCCAATGAGGTAGGTGTAGAGTAGCAGGTAGCAGTCACCCCCATAGAAGTGGCCTAACCACTTGGAATCCACAGGCACCAGCTTCAGGTCCTCAATGCGCCACACCTGGGGCCAATGTCAGGCATGAGGTTCAGGACAGTCTCCGCCACCCCCATTCCACCAAACATGGCCTCCCTCCCCTTGCCGTACCTGCACCTCCCCACTACCGTCGTCTACCATCTTCTGCTGGGCAGCCACCTCAGGCTTGACATGCATGGACGTGGCATCAAATTTCACCTGCTCCACCTTGGCTGGGGTTGGGAGAATCATGATACCACCTGTCACCAGCTGAGGACTTGCTGGTTGCCCGACCTGCACTTTATATAGCCTGGTCCCCTGTGTCCTCACAGCAGCCCTGAGTGGTGGCTACAGTTTTTATACCCATTTTACAGATGGAAAAACTGAGGCTAGAGAGATTCAGTAGCTTACTCAAGGTCATAGAGAGGCAGAGCTATAAAATAGAACATATCTCCTACTCCTAAGACATATTCTTACCCAGTGCCTCCAGGGGAGCAAGGGGAGGACAGTGGGCAAAGTGTGATGACCTGTCCACGTCCTGACCTCTGCAGAATCCAGGCTTCAATCTGCTGGCCTTGTCTCCCAGCTCAACAGGGAGCTCTCCAATAATGGAAGCTGTACATGATCCTTTTATACTCCCCCCAGGGGCCTGGTGCTGAGCTTGCCCTCAGCAAATACTGCCTGGTGAGAGACTGAAGCTCTTTGTTCCCAGGGGGGCAACCCCATTCCAAACTAAAGGCAGGTAGTTCCCAGCTCCTTTTTATGACAACTCTTGAGTTTATCCATGTCCCCGTGTGTCCCCCACCACATCTGGGGGAGCCCAGAGCCAGGAAAAAAGCATGCATGGGAGAAGTGAGTTGGGAAGGGAGGTAAAAGACAGATCCAAGGTGCTTTCCTGACCCACTCCTGGGTCCTCCCCGCCCACCCTGCCCTGGACTGGCCCTCACCCACGGAGCCTATGGTGTGGGTTTTTCCCAGTCCTGAGGCCCGGTTGGGCACTGTCCACTTCTGGAAGAGCTGCTGGAAGACGGCAGACTCGGCCCCATCATTCTGCACCTCCACCTGCGTGCTTGGTGGGTACTGCTTGGCTTTGATAAAGTTCTAGGTAGAAAAGGGGGTAGCTGGGAACTATGTCCCTTCCTTAGCCACTATTTCCTATGCAAGCCAAAGCCTGGCTCTAACCCTAACCAGACCCAAAGTTAAACTAAACCTGGTACTAAGCCCAAACCTGAACCCAACCCTGATCCCAGTGCTGACCTCAAACCTAACTTTGCTCTGACTCCAACCCCAAGGCCAAAGCTGACCTCAAACTTGACTCCAATTCTAACCCTGACCCTCCACCTCCAACTCTAGCCCTGAACCCAACTGTCAATATACTGCTGACCCAAGCCAGTCAGGGTTACTGACTTCAGCCCTGACAATGACCCCAAACTAACCAGCCCCAAGCCTGGCCCAATCCCCTGGTTGCTAAGACAAAGATCAGCCTCCATTTCTCCCTTCCTCTACTCAACCAGCCTGAGTCCAGGGAGGTGAGAGCGCACATCCTGAGGAAGCACCAGGGTTGCCTGGGGCTTGGCTCCCTGGTGTGCAAAAAACCCCCAGAGATGGCTACAGAATGGCCCCTCAGACCCCTACAGCTGGGTAAGGTGCACCCTGCCCCTCACCAAGCCTCTGCCTCGTTCTGTGCCCAGTCTGAACCCCACTTTCCTTCTCCCTGCCGGTGTCTCTGTGTCTCTCTCCTCCTATCACTCTCTCTCCTCTTCACAGTTCTCCCTCCTCCCTGACCCCCACCCCTACCAGTGCTTGGCTCATGGCTTCCTTCTTCTCCTCAGCATTGGCATCCTTCCCCTTCCACACGAAGATCTTCAGGCCCCCCTGGTCCAGGATGTAACAATCCTAGAGGTGAGAGAGAAAAACCCAGAGTGACAGCCTGGGAGTGCTGGACTAGGGGAGTTTCAGGCACAAAAACGTCTCTTGCTGATCAAAAGGGGGAAAACGTAGAAGAGAATTTAAAATTTTCATGGAATCCAGACTTTCTAGAGCCACTGAGGCTGGATCAGCCACTAAAAATATTGTCCTGAGATAATCTTGAAATCTTAACCTTAAACCAAAGCTATCCTCTGAAGTCATCTTTAAACCAAACAATAGTTTGGCTTAATAAGTAAGAAAGTCTGTTGAGCATTGTGCTCGTTAAAATAATTATCTCTATGTGATCAAACTGACAACAGCAACTCAAAAGGCTAGATGAGAAGCTTAGGGGGCAGTGAGTTTATCTTAATGGTGGTAGAATAATTTGGAAAAGGACGGCAAAAATGGTTGCACAATTTGAAAAATGTAATCAGTGTAACTGAATAGTACACGTAGAAATTGTTGAATTGGTATATGCTTTGCTGTGTATATTTTCTCCAAAAAAAAAAAAAGTATATGTACACATATATAAAAAACTATTGCCCTCCCATACCCACCTTGGCCCGCAGGAATTTCTCCTTCTTAGGGGAGAAGTGGGCCAGCTAGGAGGTGGAGGCTCACCTGATGATTGAGCAGGTCCTGTGTGAGTGGCCGCGTGGCAACTTCTCTAACCACCAGTTTTCCCTCTGAGTTAGACACGCTGCAGGACAAAGGCAAGGCACAGTCGGGGAGGGGTCCCAAGTCTCCCAGCTGGGTGCCCTGCCCCAGGAAGTCCCCCAGCACCCAGGGGGCCCCCAGCCAGGTACTCACTGGTACAACTTGAGGGAGGCCTTGAGCGCGGGCTCCACCACCGTGTCGGGCACGGCTGCCTTCAGCTCCATCCGCTTGCCCAGCACGTGGTTCATCACCTCCATCAGCTTCGGGGAAGCCTTCTCATTATCCCCCTCCACCACGCCCACATAGGCACGCCCACCCCGCTCCTGGTCGCGGATATCCTTGGCCAGGGTCATGCCCTGCAGAGAGACCCCAGGTGACCCATGAAGGCTGGCAGGGACAAGGTAGCGCCTACCACCCCAGCCACGTTGGGCGAGTGCTGAGGCACCTGCCCTGCTTCTCCCCTTTGAGGCTACCCTGGACCAGCCTTTAAGGTGTGGGTAGGAAATCAGTGGAAACCAGTTGAGGTTTCCTTCTTGGCAGGAGTGGTGTTTTGGGTGGACTTGTAGAGTCTTCAGTTTTCCACTGTCTGAACTTTGTGATTTTACTTCACAGCTTTGGGCAAGAGCTCAGCCTTAAGGATCACAGAACTTAGTCTCTTTGCCCCAAAGCCTACTCACACACACTCACTCACACACACACACACACTCACTCACCCTCCTCAGCCTGACCTTTAATGTTCCAGTTATTCACATTTTAATCCTAGGCCCCCTTCTCTCCCTATACTCCCACCCAGGGGCAGGACGTTCAAAGACCCCTCTAAACTGCCAATGCCCACATTGCTGTCTCCAGCCCAGCTCTCTGCTCTCATCTTTTTTTATCTATCTTCTAAGAAGAACGCCATTTTAAGATGTCCAAAACTGAACTCTCAATTTTCTCTCCAAATCTGTTGCTTCCTGATCTTTCCCTTTGCTTCTCAGGAAATGGGATTCCCATCCATCCCTACAGTTGCTCAATCATAAGGCCTTCCATTTCTGCCTCACTCCTTTCCTCTTTACCCCCTCGTCCAGCACACAGGTAAGTCCTGTGGATTCCACCGTCCAGGTCTGAGCCCCCCCACCATAGACCACTACACAGGCTCCCACTTCCCTTTGCTTCCCACCCCACCACCCCACCTCATTTCTCAGGAGTCATAAAGACCTTACATCATAGATTAGACAATGTCCCTTGCCCGTTAAAACTTGTCAGTGGCCTTCCACAGCCCTGAGGATAGAATCCAACTACAGCTGTCTGTGACCTGCCCCTGTGAGACCTGCCCACCCTCTTCCTGACAGATCCTTGGCCAACCACTCTCTTTCCTGCCTTAGGGCTTTCTTCCCACCTCTACTTCCTCCCAGAAGCATTCCCTGAACCCCTAGTGCCACACTGCCATCCCTCAACTCTGATTATTCCCGTCTGGGAATAACCAGTTCTTCCTCTCACTGGACGGCCAGCTCTGCAGGGCAAGTCTCTCTGCCCATTTCATTCACCACCAGATGCCCAGCACTTGGCGCAGGGACTGCCACACAGTTTTTGTTGTTGTTAGGTGCCATCGAATCGATTCTGACTCAGGGCTACCCTCTGTGTGCAGAGTAGAACTTTTCCATAGGGTTTTCAAGGCTGTGACCTTTTGGAAGCAGATCATCAAGCCTGTCTTCCAAGGTGCCTCTGGGTGGGTTTGAACCACCAACCTCTAGGCTCCTACTCGAGTATTTAACCATTTGCACCACCCAGGGACTCCTTGCCACTCAGCAGGGACTCAATAAATCTTAGTGGACTACCACACTGTTTAGCACCCACAAGCGCACACACAAACGCCCACAAGTATGCCCTCTCCCCATCTACACACAGACATTCACAACCACCTTTGCACACACCCTCCCCTACAGAGTCAGGGGACAGAGGCCTGTTGGAATGGGGTCCCATCAGGGAGTGTAGGAGTTTGACTGGGGTAGGTAGGTGCTGGGTCTACAGGGGCAGGTGGTGAGCATGGCGGAGTTTACCTTGAGTCTCTCCATGCGGTTACTCTCTGGCCCGTTCCACTGGATGATAAGCTTCCCAAGGTCCAGGAGGAAAACATCCCCACGGTTGAAACTCTTCCAAGACACCTCCACCTGGGGAGCCATGTGGGAGGCACGGACCCACTCAAATCTTGTCCACGGTCCATCATCTCTTGGCCACGCCCTCCCTCCTGCTCTCCTTTCCTCGGCCTCTGCCCTCCACCCCAAGCCTCCGTCTGAGGCCTTCTCCAGGCTGGGAGGGTGGACAGGAGGCCTTGCCCCAAAGCCCTGGCATGATGCCCCCAGTAGGCGTGCCCACCTCTCCAGCCACCACGTTCCTCTTGCCCTTGACATGGAGCAGCCGCCGGACCTCGTAGGAGTTGGTATCCACTTGTTTCAAGCCGGAAGCAATGCCCCCTTTGCGGATGCTGAGGAGAGAGGTGAGCTGATCCAGGGAGTGGGCTGGGAGGCTCAACAGGCCCCTGCCCTCTGGGACGTGGGCTGCCTGAGGCTGTGATGGGGCCATTTGAGGGGCAGGGCTGGGATGAAGGGGAGGTGGTGAGGAGTCTAGGATGCATACTTGAAGGAGTCACTCTCTCTCTCTCAGGGTCCCTGCTGCATGCACTTGTATGACCCTGGGAGTGAGGGCCTCCTTAAAGTTTGCATCCTCAATGCCTCACTCACCTCCCACTATCCGGGTCCTGCTGAGGGCCCACGGGGGTGGGGGCATGGTAATGTGGAGGGTGGGAAGTGTGGTTAAGGACAGGACCCTGAGAGCAGGAGACTGAAGTGAAGGATAAGAAGGAGAGGTGTTGACTCAAAAGACCGAATAAGTGGACTGCTGCAGTAAGTATGGGAAGAGGAGAGAGGAAGACAGTAGGGAGAGGTGGGGGCTATGGCCAACTGGAGGGCAGAGAACCCCTGGCCTGCCCTACATGTCAGTAGCAACTTGGCTCCAGACCGTGTATTTCCATGGAGAAGCCAGGAGGCCAGAACTCCAGACTCTTCAAGAAAAGCTGGAAATTTGAGTTTTAAGTATGAAATCCCTGTTTTAGAGAAAGAGGGAGCAGACATTTGCCCGTTGGCCAGATGGGGGCTTGATGTGATGCCCTGGAGGGCCTCCATAGGTGCTGAGCTCTCCAGGATATTCAAATAGGAGTCGATTTATGGAAGAAAATTTGTGGTACACACACTTCAGAGCAGCCTCTGGGGGCAGCCACAGGCACACTCATAGGGACAAGAGCTAAGGACAGGGCAGTAGCAGAAATGGGGGTGAGGAAGTGGAGACAGATAAGGAAAAATCACCCAAAGCCATGAGGGACCCCTCACAGGCTCCCACCACAACCGCAGGCTCCCCTCCTGGCCCCAGGTCACCTCCTACTGCCGAGGTCTGACCGCTGCCTCCAGTGTCCACCCTCAGCTCAGCCCCAGATCCCCCATCTCCACCTTGGCCCCCAGTGCTCCCTCCCAGTCTCAGTTTCCCTTCCCGGCCCTGGCCTTCTTCCCAGCCTGCCGCATCCCTCCGTACACAAGGCCCTGCTTGAAGTAGCCTCGGAAGGCCTCGCTCTCGTTGCCTTGGACCTCACGGTGCTGGATGGCCCGGCCCTTCAGGTAGTTGTCCATCTGCGTGGTGTAGATAGCAGCTGCCCCCTGCTCATCCTGGGACGAGTCCTGGCCGATCCAGTAGTGGATGTCATAGGATACATTGTTGCCATTCTTGTGGATCTAGGGGAGAGGGGTGCTGAGTGGACCCAAGGCCCTGGGCTTCCACAGCCACTCCCCACTCCCAGCTTTGCAAGGTTTCCTACACCACATGGGTCCTGGATCGTGAGTGTGGCACAGGGAAGCCCACTGGTTGGGTGATTTGGACACTGAGTCTCCACCCCAGTCTGCCAAGGGCTCAGTGCCTTCCCCTCTCTGGACCTCGCTCTCCTTATCTTGGAAATAACTTGATTGGATGAGGACAATAGCAGCATTTCCCAAAGTGGTGTGCATGGTCCATCAGAGGTATGTGAAGTAATAAGGTGGTATACAAACACATGTATTAGATGTAACGATTGTGTAAATATTTTATAGCTACTTTCTATTTGTGACAGGTGACATTAATACCCATTTACAGTAATGATCTAGAGTTCTATTTTAAGTAAATGCATTTAAATGTTAAAGTGAGTCAATATAATGAAAAATACAAATGAATTCATAGTATGGGTGGCACCGAGTTGTGGCAAAGATCAGGCAGATGATATGAAGATGAGCAAGGATTTTTGAAGTGTGGGCTCAAGTTAGGGTGACATCCAGAATGTCCACCAAGACAGTAAATCCACAGAAGGGGGCCTCAGTGGCTCAAGGGCAGGGCGGGCCTCTGATCCCTACAGAGCCAGCCCAAAGCTGGGCACTGGGGCACACCCAGTGAATACTGTAGGAGGTTGAAACCAGGCCAGCTCTCCCTCTCACCCAGCCTGACACCAGTAGATGAGTAGGCTTCTCTACCTGCTCACCCACTCCCTTCCTTGCTGGCCTCACACTCACAGCCAAGACTATGTAGCAGTCACCATCGAAGAAGCTCCCAAAGGTGCTGGAAGGAACAGGCACCATCTGCATGGCCTAGGGAGACAAGGAGGTTGGGGGCTGCCCTAGCTCCCCCAGGACCCCGCGGTCCTGCCCCCTGACCCACAGGAAGTTGGGAGAGGCAGACAACAGGGAGGAGGAGGGCACAGGAAAGCTGACTAGGAGGAGGAATGCGAGGAGGGGGCCAAGGAAGAGAGAAGTACAGGAACTAGGGGAAGAAGGAAAGGAAGAGAGAAGGAAAAGGAAATGGAAGCAGGGAAAGAAAGAGAAAAGTGAGGAGAACTTTAGGTCCACCATGTCACATGACTCAAATCCAGCCATTATTACTTCTTTAATAGGAAACAAATATTGGAGCAAGTATGCATTGAAACTGTAATAAACACTTTCATTTCCATGAAAACAGGAGGTATAACTCTTTTACAACAAATTACTGTATTCTAGAGAATGCAGTGATGGTTCAATGGTAGAATTCTTGTCTTCCATGCGGGAGACTCAGGTTCGATTCCCAGTCAACTCTCCTCATGCACAGCCACCACCCATCTGTCAATGGAGGCTAGTGTGTTGCTATAAAGCTGAACAGGTTTCAGCAGAGCTTCCACACTAAGGCAGACTAAGAAAGGCATAGCGATCTACTTCTAGAAAATCAGCCAATGAAAACCCTATGGATCACAACAGTACAATTTCATTGTGCATGGGGTCGCCATGAGCTGGGGGCTGACTCGAGGACATCTAACAAGAGTGATCGTAAGTATCTAGTAATCGTGATTAAAAATTCAAACATTCTATTAGTTTCAGATTTTGATTTATATAATTTGTACAGAATGACTTTATGTTTGTTATCACTGTTATCATTAAGAAATAAAAAATACTTTTTAAAAGTGAGGGAAGAAGGAATAGAGAGGAAGGTTGGCAGACAAATGAGGAAGAGAACAAGAGACAAATGAAAGAGGAAGGGAGAAAAAGGGGAAGGTGTACGCGAACGAAGAGAAGAGAAGGTACTAGAAAAAGGAGGAGGAGAAAGAGCAGGGGGATGTGGGTGATGTGGGAGAGGAGGGGGTGCAGGGAGGGAAGGAGGCAGCTTGGATAGAAGGAGCCATGTGCAGATGGCTCAAGCCAGCAGGGCAGGACTGGAGACGAATAAGCATAATCCCAGGCCCCTTCCTTCCCTCACTGTCCCAGATCTGCAGCCCCGTCCCCCTTCCGCAGGCAGGGGCTCACCTCGATCCTCCATATGTGCAAGCCCGGAGTGGTGATGTCGAGAGAGCCTTTGACCTGGGTGCTCAATTTGGTCATTGTGGGTGAGCCTGGGGTGGAGGGATGTGGGAGCAAAGGGCTGAGGAGCTGGGAGTACCCTGGGTTCAGGGGCTGCCCTTCCAGCCCAGCCCAGAGAATTCCCATCATGAACCAGGAGGCTACATGCTCAGGGGTGTGGGTGAGGGGAAGGGTTAGATCCCGGCTCTGATTAGCAGAGAGCCCAGCCTCCTGCCTTCCCACCCAGCTCTGATCTTGCTGAAACACCTACCTTGGCTCCCTGTCACCTATTGAATAAAATCCTCATTCCTTAGCCTTCATTCCAGGTCCTTTTTTATTGAGGCCCATACAATTTTTTTTTTTGAAAAATTTTTATCCAAGTCATATTTGGTTTAAAAAAAAAAATCATACAGTTGTTTTTAAAAAAAACAGGGGGTCGGGGGGAGGCAGAGAAGCAAAGAATAAATAAGGGCTTATCTGTGTACCCCAAAGAATTGAAAACAGGTGTTCAAATAAGCACTTGTACACAAATGTTCATAACAGCTCTATGCATAACAGCCGAAAGGTGGAAACTCCAAACGTTCATCAATGGATGAACAGATAAACAAAAGATAGAATACTATTCAGCCATAAGAAGGAATGAAGTGCTGATACATGTTACAGCAAGAAGGAACCTTGAAAGCATTATGCTAACTGAAAGAAGCCAGTTGTAAAGGCTACGTACTGTATGATTTCATTTATGTGAAATATCCAGAATAGGGAAATCCCTAGAGATAGAAAGTAGATCAGTGGTTGCCAGGGGCTGGGAAGAAGGGAAGAATGAGAGTGACTGCTTAATGGGTACAGGGTTTCCTTTTAAGGTGATGAAAATGCTCTGAAACTAAATAGTGGTTGCACAACATTGTGAATGTACTGAATACCGCTGAATTGCACTCATTAAAATGGTTAAAACGGTAAATCAATGTCATGTATATTTTACCATGAAAAAAAAAAAGTGTACGCAACAGTTTCCTGCCCCCCACTTCCCAGCTACCCCTAAACACCCCTCCATCTTTGTTGTGGTGGCCTGCAAGATGTAAACCTCACAAGGGCGGAGACCATGTCTGTTTGTTCATACTCAGGGCTCAGCATCTAGAACAGTGTTGGCACTTTGCTGAATGAATGGAGAGCAAAGAGTGAACCCTCCCACTGTGAGCCAGCCTCCACCCACTGAGCCAGAAGAAATCGCCCCTCCCCAAGCTTCTTTGAAGGGATCAGCTCTTTCTGGCTTCATTTGTCCCTGTGGTCTCCACCAGCTGCTCATCAGAATCGCCTGGGGAGTTTTTGAACAATGCTGATGCTCTGATGCCCAGGCCACATCCCCAGAGGCTCTGACTTAATTAGGCGGAGGTGAGGCTCAGGCACGGGTAATTTATTTTCTGACTTTTGGGAGGCAGGGCCTGGGTGCTTTTTAAAAGTTCCCCAGTGACGGTGACGGAGGCCAGGGTGGACTCCAGTCATCCTCGTCCAGGGTTTCACTGCCCCTCCCCCATCACATTCCCATGGAGCCTACCACCCTGCCTGACCCAGATGCCCTCCACAAATGCTCCTTGAACTGATGAATAACGACTGGAAGGTCACACCTCCCACACCGACAGCTCGATTATCTAATCTTTGCACCCTGACGTTGAGTCATCTCTTGGAATAATGACCTGGCGTTTTACTGCTTGGAAGCTCCCTCTGCTGAGCCCCGAGTGGTGACCCCTCTCCCTGGCATCCTGTTTGGGGGCAAGGCCTCCCTGGCCAGCCTCTGCTCAGCGTCCCCGCCAGCTCATTCCCAGCCACCTGCGCTTCCCCAGCCCTGCGTGCAGGGTCTGTAGGAAGCCCCTTGTGCCTGGAGCTTGTCCGAGGCCATTGCCTTTGCCATCAGTTATTGTTTCTCAACCTGCAGACACACCAGGGCCCCCAGGACCCCTGGTTCAGCAGAACCAGTTTGGGTACGAAGAAGGAGAAGGCTTTCTGTTTTGTCTCAGTGACCACCTTCGTCTACGTCCCCCTTTGCCCAAGCCAGGCTCCTTACGACACTCATTATGAGATCGGGGTGGGGGTTCGTTAGATGATCTCTAAAGTCACCCCCAGGGACATACTCTGAGTCTAGGAATGAATCAGCAGCAAGAGGAATAGAGGGTAGACATGAGGAAGCACTCTCTGCCCATCAAAGGGGATTCAGGGTAGTAGGGACTTGAAAAAGCCAGTCCTCTCCCTCCCTGGAGAGAAATCTGGATTGGGGCCCTTCCAGCAGCCTCTTTAGGGAAGCGTCCTTAGGGAGGGCGTAGGCAAGGGGACTGGAGAGGGGTGGCTCTGAGAGGAGGCCATGTCCCCCCATAGGTACACGCCAGCTGCTCCTGCCCCTAGTGATGTTGCTAAGAGCAGAAGCCTCTGCCCCCACACCTCGGTGGGTCCTTCCTAGCTCTCCCATCTTGCTTGAACTGCTGGGAGGCATTTGGGCCCCTCACCCCCGCTACCCTCGCCAGCATGGGACCCTGTTGGATATGCGATGTCTTCTCTCTCAACTTGAACTCAGTGGTCCCCTCTTCTCTACGTTCTCCATCTTGGGAAAGGGCACTATCACCCTCAGACCCCATCTGGGCAACATCCTGGACTCCTCCCCTCTCCCCTTGCCCTTCTACCCACCTAAACATCTCTGAGTCTGCCTCCCTCCACACCTCCTCCCCTTCTCTGCTCGCACTCTGCTTCTCCCACCAGCACCAGCTGCTCTCGAGTCAACTGTGACTAATGGTGACCCCACATGTGTCAGAGTAGAACTGTCCTCCATAGGGCTTTCAATGGCTAATTTTTCAGTAGATTGCCAGGCTTTTCTTCCAAGGTGTTTCTGGGTAGACTCAAACCTCCCGCCTTTCAGCTGTCTGTCTAGCATGCATTTGCACCACCCAGGGACTACCTCTGCCTTCTGAAAATGTCCAACAGCTTGCTTGCCGGGCTCCGGCCATGCTGCTTCCCACCCCCTCACCCTTGCTCTTGCAGTTGCCTTTACTGAATGCCTGCTCCACATTTGTTCACTTGGCTAACACTTACATGGCCTTCTAGACTCAATTTAGGTGTCCTTTCCTCCAGGAGACTTTCCCAGGATCCTCAGGCTGGACTAGGGGCCTCAGGCATCCTGAACTGATGTTTCCCTTAGCCCTGACCACATGGTAATGAAAGGATCTGTCCTCCCCATTGAACTTGGTGGTCCCTGAGGTCAAAGACCTAGCTGTGTTTATCTTAGTACCCCCAGCTCCTAGCACATAGTAGGTGCCCGGTAAGTGTTTGTGAAGTGGAAAGACTGAACTGTGGAATGGAAGAGGTGAGGCTAGGGTCCACTCAGGGCCCTGCCTAGGGCCCTGCAGGAGTCAAGGCTCCTGCTCTCGCCTGGCCCCTGGCCCCATCTTTCCTGTCTTATCTGCTGCCCTGTTGCCCTGAAGTGGGGTGCAGGCTCCAGGGAGCCCCAGGTGCTGCCAGCGCTCTTAGCCTGAGTCTGCAGTTCCAAGCTGGACAGGGAGGAGGTGAGGCAGTTTAGGGGTGGAGGTTCCAGCCCCTGAAATACAGGACACTCTCCTGCTCCCCAGGCCCATGGTAGCTAAGGGAGAGGACACTTCCTCAGCCCCTCCAGCCCCGTACCACAGACTCTGCCCTCACAGCCATGAAGGATGCTGGAGTAGGCCTCCTGTTTGTCCCAAGGCCCTGGTCTGTGCTCCCATTCTGTGCCCCACCCCATTTCAGATGAATGGGCATAGAGGGCTATAAGGTCAGGGTCAGGTCCAGGGAGAAGGCCTGGCTGAGGGGAGATGAGGCAGAGGTGTACACTAGGGTAGTGGGTCATGGCCCAGGACTGAAGGGCCCTGCTGCTACCATCCATCCCCTGCCCCTGCCCATTCATTTCCTGATGGCTGTTGCTCACATTCTGGGATCCAGAAGACAAGGGCCCAGAGGTCACAGGAGTGTTAGGGAAACACAAAGAAAGAAACCATTTCAGATGGGGGAGAAATGAGCAAAGAGATAGGCTCGGGGGGAGGGAGGGAAGTGGGTGAGTGTGACCAGCTAGTCCTGGTTTGCCCAGGACAGGCCCGGTTTTACGTCCCAGGATCTTTCTCAGTCCAGGGCAAACAGGGATGGCTGGTCACCCTAAGTGGGTGGTGGCTAGCCACAGGTGGGGGACAAAAGAGCAGGTGGCTGGGGCGGGACCTGAAGGACTCTTTCTTTCCTTGGAGGCTCAGGATAGGCACGCGGGCTCCTTGCTCTTTCCCCACTCTCCAGAGTGCCCAGCCTTTCCCTCCAGCCCACGCCAGGGTTCTGCAGCAGGTCTCCGGCTGCCAGAAAGAAGCAGGAGACCTGTCCCCTCTTACTGTCTATGGTCTCCAAGTGTCTCCACCGGTTGCCTTACCTGTCTGCGAGAGGCAGCCGCCACCTGGGAGATCTCAGGGAGTTATGGCAAGCTGGCTGCAGGAAAGAGACCTTTGTCCCGTCCCCCCCCCACCTCCTTCTAGGTACTGCCTTCACCATAAAAGGGAAGATAAGGCCCCAGAGACGGAGAGAATGGGTGAGGGGGTGGGGAAGCAGGTGCCCGCCAGGTCCTTGGGAGCCCAGAGCTCAGTGACAGCCCAACAGCCGAAGCCAGATGTGCCCCACCCTCGCTCCCAAGCATGCACCCAGGGGATGCCATGGGTTTCTGCCCGGGGCCCAGGCCCTCACCGCAAGTGGATGGCACAGGCCAGGGAGAGTAGGGGGCCCTCGGACCTTCCCTCCTTCTCTGGAGAAGTGATGCCTGCTAGTGGGGAGCAGGACTTCTGGGGTCTAGGAGCCCCAAATGCAGGGATGCGCAGCCAGGGGCTCACACTTGGGGCCTTCCAGGCCAGATGAAACCCTGGCACCCACAGGAGTCTCTTCTACTCAGCAGGACTCTCCCCCAGAAGAGGGGGCATGATGTGCAATTCCTGTCCCCCACCTTCAGTGGTCACTGGCCCCACCTGAAGTTTTTATGAGATGCCATAAACCAGTGCCTTTGGACTCTGCTCTCTGCCACCCTCTTCCAGAAGCCAAAGTTTCAGTTTCTAACCCTGAACCTAGGGGGACCCTGTCCCATTCGGCACAGAAAGGAGTGGGGCCCTCTCTTGTGTGAGTCTCCTTCGGGCAGCTGCCCCCAACTTGTCCCCCTGCAGATATCCTCCTGGATCTTCTGAACCCTGGTCCTAGGAGGATGAGACGGAGTGGCTGGATAGGGACGGCCCCTCCTCCTGACCACAGGCTCCCGATCCGGAGGCCAATTGCGTGTGTGTGTGTGTGTGTGTGTGTGTGTGTGTGTGTGTGTGTGTGTGTGTGTGTGTGTGTGTGTGTGCTCTATCCATGCACACTTCTGTACAGTCTGGTCACCTGTTGCCATCGAATTGATTTTGACTCATAGCAACCTATAGGACAGAGTAAGTAGAAGTGCCTCATAGGGTTTCCAAGGCTGTAAACTTTATGGAAGCCGACTGCCACATCTTTCTCCCAGGGAGTGGCTGGTGGATTGGAACCACCAACTTTTCTCTTAGCAGGCTAGAGCTTAACCACTGCGCCCCCCCAGGGCTCCTCGCACAGTCTGGTAAGAGGAGTCAGTACATTGCAGGTGTGTGTTTTAATAATATAACACCTTTTTTCCTGAATATATGTTCACTCAATTACATAAATAAGCAAAAAAGAATTTGAAAAACCCACCCATAATTCCACCTCAGGGGATAATCCACAGAGAAATCACTGTTAGTAATTTACTTGGGGGTCTTTCAAGTCATTGTCCAGTAATATGCTGTGTGTATGGACTGTATGTATATAATATTTGCCTGCCTACCTACCTACCTCTCTATCTATCTATCTATCTATCTAGTAGAGGGTCAGTGAATCGAGGAAAACCCTCAATGGGATGGATTGACATAATAGCCTCAACAACGGACTCAAACATATCAAAGATCAGGGAGACGGTGCAGGACCAGGCATCTTCATTCTGTTATACATAACATCGCTATGATTCGGAACTGACTCGACAGCAACTAACAACCACTATCTACTTTTTTTGCAATAAGAACTTTGTTATTGTGATAAAATATATTGTATATATATACTTTCTACTGCCTTGTTATATATTATTTTGCAACTTCACTTTTAATTATCTCACAGTGTTCCATTAGATAGATACCACAGTTTACGTAACCAATAGCGGGTCATTGGACTTCCAAATTATATCCAATTATTTGATACAACAAAGAATGTTGTGATAAGGATTCTTATTGCTAAATCTTTGCTGCTAGATTGCATTATTATTATTTCTTTAGGGTAAATTCCTAAAAGTGAGATTGCTGGGCCAAAGACATGAATGGGTCATCTGCCTTCGAGAAAAGCTGCATTAACTTATCATCTCGCCAGCAGTATATGGGAGTACCTGTTCCTCCACACTCTTCCCAGTACTGGTTCCAGCATTTAAGATAATCTCTGTCAGTGTGACTATGAAAAAAGAAAATAGTCATTGTATTGATTTAGATTTATTTGATTACTAGTGAGATGGAACATTTTAAAGTATCTTTATTGGCTTATGTCTTTTGGGCATTTCTAAATAATTTGTTGGATTTGTTTATATATTTACTGTACGAAGGCTGCTAACTTGCCTGTCATTTGTGTTACACTTTCCTCCAGTTTGTTACTTGCCTTTTAATTTAGCAGAAGGCACTTTTTGGAGCACATATGTATTTTCTTTTTTTTCATTGTTTCCAATTTCTTTTTTTTATAAAAATGTCAGACATGTTGAAAAGTATAAATATTAGTACAATATATCTATGAAGTTGCAGACATCATGATATTTCAGCCCTAAATACTTAATTTATCACTTATCTCCTATGAATGAGGAATTCTCTTCATAACTTCAACATCATTTTACACATGAGAATATTAACAATAATTTCTAATATTATTTCCATCCAATCATATTCAAACTTATCCAATGTCTCCAAAAGCACTTTGATGTTGTTGTTTTTATTAGGTGCTGTCAAGTCGGTTCTGACTCATAGTGACCCTATGTACAGCAGGAAAAAACGCTGCTTGGTCCTGCACCATCCTCACAATCATTGCTATGTTTGAGCCCATTGTTGCAGCCAGTGTCAATCCATCTCACCAAGGGTCTTCCTCTTTTTCGCTGACCTTACACCTTACCAAGCATGATGTCCTTCTCCAGAGACTGGTCTCTCCTGATAACCTGTCCAAAGTACGTGAGATGAAGTCCCACCATTCTCGCTTTCAAGGAGCACTCTGGCTATACTTCTTCCAAGACAGGCTTGTTCATTCTTCTGGCAGTCCATGGTATATTCAATATTCTTCACCAACACCGTAATTCAAAGGTATCAATTCTTCTTTGTCTTCCTTACTCATTGTCCAGATTTTGCATGCACATGAGGCAATTGAAAATATCATGGCTTGGGTCAGGTGCACCTTAGTCTTCAAAGTGACATCTTTGCTTTTCAACACTTTAAAGAGGTCTTTTGCAGCAGATTTGTGCAATACAATAGGTCGTTTGATTTCTTGACTGCTGCTTCCATAGGTATAGATTGTGGATCCAAGTAAAATGAAATTCTTGACAATATTAATATTTTCTCTGTTTATCATGATGTTGCTTATTGGTCCAGTTGTGAGGATTTTTGTTTCATGTTCAGGTGTAATCCTACTGAAGGCTGTGGTCTTTGATCTTCATCAATAAATACTTCAAGTCCTCTTCATTTTCAGAAAGCACTTTAATAACTGGTTTTATTGACATAGGCTTCTCCTTAGTTTCCTAATGCTGCTGTAAAAGAAATACCACAGTGAGAGGCTTTAAAGAATGGAAATTTACTTTCTCATAATTCTGGAGGCAAAAAGTTCAAATTAGGGTCTCAGCAGTGTTGATTCCTTCTCTGTTGGTGGCCCTGGGCATTCCTTGGTTCCTTAGCAATCTTCACATGACATCTATCTTCTTTGTGTGTGCATGTCTCTGTGTTTAACTGTTCTTTTTATAACTCAGAAGTGAGTAGATTTAGAACTCACCCTACTCTGGTATGATCTAATTAACATAACAAAGGAAGCCCTATTTCCAAATAGGATTACATCCATGGGTATAGGAGTTAGGAATCCAATACATTTTTTTTGGAGGAGGGGCACAATTTAATCTGTAACAAGTAGCAAATAGAGATCATGCATTTCCTTTGATTGTTGTGTATCTTTAGTTTTGGTGTTTTTTTCACTCTAGTACCCTCCGCCGCTTTTTTTTCCCCCATGACATTGACTCACCTAATTGCCGGACAATTGTAGAATGGTCTCATTCTGGATATGTCTGAGTCTTTCCTTATGGTATTATTTAATTGGTCCAGCTTCCTTCTGTATTTCCCACAGGCTGAAAGTTACACGCAATGGCTTGATTCAGTTCTGGTTTAATATGTTTTTCAAGAATACTTTATAGGCCACTACTTCTCAAGCTGTAATATAAGAATCACCTGGGAGTCTTTTAAAAACACAAATTCTGATTCAATATGTTTAGGGTGGAGCCTAAGACTCTGCATTACTAACAAGCTCAAAAGTGATGCTGTGTATTTCATATCAGAAGCTGCATAATGTCTGTGATGGTTAAAATTATGTGTCACCTTGGCTATGCCATGATTCTCAGTGGTTTTCAGATTGTATGTAATCATCCTTCATTTTGTCATCTGATGTGAGCAGTCAATCAGTCGAAATGGGAATTTCCTTGTGGGTATGGCCTACATCTAATATATATGGATGCTCTAACAAAGCTTTCTCTCTCTTGATCTTCCATCTGACTCGTCATTCTCTGACCTCTGGTTCTTGGTACGTGAGCCAGCAGCCTACTGCCTGACCTGCAGATTTTGGAATTCACCAGCTCCTGCAACCACATGAGTCAGGAGAAGCCTCCAGCCTGATGTCTGACCTACAGATTTGAGACTTGCCAGACTCCACAACTGCGTGAGCCATTTCCTTGAAAAAAATCTCTTTCTATATAAATTTTTATATATATATATATCACTTCACTGGTTTTCCTTCTCTGGAGAACCCAGCCTAAGACATTTGGTACTGGGAGTGGTTCTAGAGGAACACAACTGTAAGGATGAATTTTCTGAATTGGTTCTAAAGTTTGACCAGTCTTAAATTCACTGATGACTTGGCTTCCAGTAGTAAAGAGTGCACTGCTAATCTATGGCGTGAGAAGGCAATTAAAATACACAAAATATCACCACCACTGGATCAAATATTTGTGAAAAGACAAGGCTTAGGGTGATTATATATTTGATACTTTTCTACTATTTTGTCAGAATGAAAAATATAAGGAAACTGGTTGGTTGGTCCTACTTTCTTTAGACAAAGTGATGAAAGAAAACAATGAGCTCAAAGCTTCAGAGTCACAGCTCAAGCACCCATACAAGATTTGAAAGT